GGGGGTTGGGGGTGACCCCCCCCCTTCGATTTCTAAAGAAAAAAATCACACCAATGGTCCCCCTCTTGAAATAAGAATTTTGACTAGCTGCATCATAGCCGTACCATCACTGGACCCTCCTTCAAATAATCCTGGATCCGCCCCATGGTTCATTTAAATTCATACGTGTATTTGATGAATATGTAATTAATCATGGCGAATGAATTGGTCTGAATACCAGCACTATTGCATTGGAAAAATACTGTGAAACAGTTGATTTATTATTTCTGTATTCATAAATACAATTTGCTGATAACTATTTCCACTAAATTACCTCCACGTAGAGCGCATCGTTGAAACCACTACCACGTACGAAAGCCGCAGTTAAAGGAAAGGCGATCCCCAAGCTGACGATAAACGTGCCATACACAGTCGCCAGATTACGGTGGATGGAGTAACTGAAAATAAAAACTATGGATTTTATACCTACGAAAAACTGGATGCCAAATTTTACATCCGATGATTGTGTTGCATGCTTTAGGCGTCGGAGAGGTCCGCCTGGTGTACACAATAGGGCTTATAGTTGTTAATGTAAGTGCTGGAATGCATTTGAGTAAAATTAAAAAAATACAATATAATTTGAACAAGCAAACACGGTTATCAAATTGAGACATTTTTTGACAGATGTGTCAGCCAGCATCCACCAAAACTTCGTATGTAAAGGAAACATGGTTTTAATGGCATCACCTCAATTTTTTGTTTGTGTACAGTGTATGTGCTGATTGTTTGTCTCCTGCGACCTTTGCTAAGAAACGCATTAGCTTTCTGCCCGACACCAATAACATCAAATAACAAAGAGGGAATTTAATGAAGCATCATTAGCTACGCACGGTTTCAAGTGCGTAATGAGAAATGTGATTTAACAATGGTGCAATTAAGCTGTATCTGGTGAATTAAGCGTAGAGTTTGAATTGCCCACTTCGATGTTTATATCGATGGAAAGATCGATACTGTTAGGGTCCGATTTCCACTTTGCTTTCGACAGCCATTTCACAATCAATTGCTATTCATACTGAATTTCTTTTTTAATTGATTCGTCGAATTTTGGGCAAAACGCCTTTAAATCACATAGGCAGTTAGAAAACCTCTTTAGCCCTGCCTCATTAGGGTTATTGCACTCGTAGATTTCAACCCATATTCATTCTGCTGTTACATAATATACCTCCTTATCAGACTGCTGCATGATAACATGGCTATTTATGGAGGACAGAAAATAGCATGCATCTCTGTGTTGTTGAGCAAAATTGAAAGGAATTAAAGACCCAATGCTTTTGTATGTCTTGCGAGAAAGTCGAGTGAAATGTGCATCAACCTGCGCAAGATCCATAGGATAAAGGTTGTTAGATCCATTTTTTTCACGTCAGTCATTACCACAAGAGACAGGGGCTTTAAGGGCATACAGAACAAGTTGAGATGCGGACTAACACCCCATTTCCATAGATTAGATCGACCTACTTTAGATCGACCTAACTCCCTGGGGGTTCACGCTAAATAGCTGTCAGCCGGGCGGACACGAAAGTTAATTACCCCCTTACAGCTTGTAGTAGGCGGGACGGACATTTAAGTCGGATTATCTGAAAGTAATCTAGTGAGACTCCCCGCGGGGATAGATCGATCTAAAATCTATGGGAATAGAGCCTAACAGACCTTATCCGCTGATATTCACCCCGCCTCCACACGCGCCGACACTGCAGGAGTCTAGCAATTAAACCTCGGAGCCTTAATTTAATCCGTTTAATGTAGCGTGCGGAGGCTGGGAGACAATCAGCGGATTAGTCGGCTATTGCTTTCTTGTGGGTCGGCCATATTTAATCTGCTGATCTGCAAGTCTGCAGATCAACTTTTTCTGAATACCTTCTAAGGAGACTAACCCCACCCATTATTTCTTTTGAAATTGTTTCTCCCTCCTCCCACTAAGAATTTGACCCCTTATGTAAACGCGCCCGATTCTGACCGTCATCCTTCTATTCTCTTATCTTTATCCTTATTATCTTTACTGTTGGAACAGAGTCTCAGCTGACGGCTACAAATGTAACCGATAAATAATAGATACGATATTATCTACATGTATCTAAATGATACGACGGTGGGAACTGCATTCGCAGAATGATTATCTTCTACTGCACTCTCTACCCACAGAATTTGACGATTACAAGGACATTTGTTCAATTTTGCAACACATACAAGGTCGAGGGTAGTTTTCGTTAGATTATGCTTGATGTGAAATGCCGAATACTTATGTACGTTAACAACGTTTACCACATGTACTGACTACTTCTCGGGAATAAGTCCTTTATCGACGTAATATTCCTTGATTGATAGACTCCCTGCAGCATTTTGGTGCAAAAAGTAGCATTAACGCAAGGGAATAGTTGTTTTGTATTCTTTCTGAAATTCTCTAACATATCCTCCGTGCTACTGTAGATCGGTTTTACGTCCCTGGGAATTTGACTTTTAATGAAAATTATTTGCTTAACATAAAGCGCCTTTTTCAGGCAGTGTGCATTCGCATTACTTCAGTTCCGTAGCATTAACGCAAGCATGTGCAAACATGCAACGTGCTTTGAGACGAAATAATAAACAAATGGACTGCCCCTTTTGTATGCAGGTACATAATATTAAGTGAAAGAAAGCCCAACATTTGTCAAGTTGACGCTGGAAGCAGAATTTCATCATAATAAAGACAGTGTAGGGCAACAGAGCTCCGAGTGTTTTTTGTATATTATATGACGTTCTAATAAAATTTGGAGCGGTAGCAAATATCACATATTTCGATAAAATCTAACAAATACAAGAACAGAAAGAGCTCTATAAATTTATAAGTCAAATGAAAAAGAAAAATATCGGCAAACTAGTAAGACTGTCCTCTTCTAATACTATATGCCCATCAAAGAACTGAATAGGAGTTGGAAAAGGGGATTGGTTTCAAGTAAATGGAACCTTATGTAACAACAAAAGTTTATCTTCAATTGTGTATGCCATAAAAATACTGCTTCGCGCTATCGGATGTGAAAATTACTGAGTGTCAAGCTTCTCACGTCAGCTAACAGCATAGTTCTATAGAACTCATTCTGTACATCGTCCAATAAAACACCGAATAGGCCATTACTAATCAATTTTTTTTCTATCCGCTGTACTTTGAAAACACATCCCTTAACAAAACATCTTCCTGAATTAGTTTCATCGTTTGTTTCACAAAGCATCAATAACACTATCAACCAGCACATCTTTCCACTTACCGGTCCGTTACCACTAGCTCGGTATCCGCCATCTTCGGCGCTATGTAGAAGCTTTCGTTCATTAATATAAGGCTTAGCTGTTGCGTTATTTACATTTGGGGCTCCAAATGAGAAAAGCCACACGTGGGACTGTGTGACTTAACGGAAACACAGGTGGATACTTTCACTTGCAGATGCACACACGTATTCTATTTTTGATTAGTCTATTTTCCCCAATTCCTAATTTGTGCTAAAAAAGATTTTTCCCCTACGGAATAAAAAAATAAATTAAATATAAGAAATAAATATTTTAAAATAATGTTGCGGGCGTTAACTTATATTAAAAAAGTTCTTCTCATTGAACCACGTTATTCTCTTTAAACCCATATGTTTGTTCTGTGACTTAATCCTCTGGGAAGGGTCTTTGATATTCAAAAGCACAAACTACACCCTGAGGCACTCTCGTAAATGTTCAATGTTGCCATATTTGGGAATTGTAGATGTGACCTTACGTAATTATTGGACGTAATTATTGAATAAGTATACGCAGTGGCTGATGCAATTAATCTTTATTGATCTGCTGACCATTTCCCCCCTCACTGAATTCTGATCTGTACTTGACCTTGATACACACACAAGGTAAAAAGGTCTTTGAGAAAGCTGTGCACTACTAAAGCTGGGATGCGCCTTATATAACAGCGATGGCCAATCGCAAATCCAAAGGAAAGTAAGTACTACTATATGGTCAAAGTGCAGCACTGGTTATATGTAATTATTGTGGCAGTGCAAGACAATCTGTTTTTCTGAAATTGTTCCAACTCCCAATGGATAATTGCCACGTTTAAATCGGATGGATAAGACATGCAAATTTTGGTACAGCACGCACACGTACTGACTCCGTTGTGGAGTTTATTACTGTGTCAGTAACACGGGGGACAGGTAACAATTGAAAATGGCGATAAAATACATATGTTCTCTGTATCCCGAGGCCTCTCTAAACCCTAGTGCATGATGATGGAGCAATGGCGTGATTTCATGACGGTCGTGTATATTGTAAGGTCTATAGAGATACGGTATTAACCTTAGAGCAATTACAGAAATTGATCTTTTGTTTTTACATATTTATGGTGCTATTCAGTGTCTTGTCAAATATGTCACAAACAGTTTGCATCACCAAAGACAGATCTAAAATGATGACTAGAACGACAAGTCAAATGACGGTGCAATACGTTTTGGATTCTTGATATTCGTATATGTTTGTTCTATCTGGCTATACGTCATTCAGGTCATGGGAATATATTTATTGCAGTTACGAAAACACCGTAAGACAGGCTATGCATTATTATGACCAGATAGTTTAATTGGTCATGTTTAACAGTCATACTGTTCAGTAAGAGAAGGATTTGTTTGAGTGTGGTACGTATCAAAAGTGCGGGAACAGGTGTCAAACCAATAGGTAAAAAAGTACATTCGAAGACTCTCGTTAGACAGAAATTCAGCCCCACCCATCCTCCCATGTTAAAAATACATTGATGGTGTATTTTAATTTGACATAAGATGATTCATGGCAGTGTATGGAATGACATTTGTATAAGCACCTGATGTTAATGTACTATCAAGTTTTGTGTATAGAGTTGAATGGGCAGTAATAAATAAACGGGAGATCAAACAAGATTGCGCTTTCATAACTATGAAATCAGTGTTGTATGTTATTGCTGGCGTTAACTTATATTAAAAATGTTAGTTTAAGGGGGAAAATTAGAACTATGCATATGCAGTAAAAATGAACTGGATTTTGTGCAGTACGTGTCAGAAAAAAGACAATGGCGCATATATTAGGTGAGCCGTGGTCTCTCTCTGTCTGTATGTCTGTCTTTCTGTCAGGCCTGTCAACTAATTGGACTTGTGTCTTAGTTGTGTAAAATCACATGCAAATAACACTAAAAATATTGGACTCCTGCCAGATGGTCATCCCAAGTGCAGTCAGTATGTGTTTCAAGTGTTACTTATTCCTTTGATTTATCAATAACTTGGTGATCAATCAATTGCATGTGTTTTGTATACTGTAGATGAATGCACTTTGAGATAAAGTGTCGTTATTAATGACTCGGGCACGGATTGCCATGTGCGAATACAGACAGCGCTAAAGACGTTGGTCGTAACCCACAACAACATCATTGAAATTAGTTCAGCCGATTTTCCCATTATATTCTTTCTATTTTGAGTAGTTCAGGCAGAGCATTGTATGAACAGTCAAATGCAGCACTTGCTGACAGAACAGAATATTTTTCATAATCCAGATCACGAGATGTTATTAAACAGTTTTAAAGCAATCAATTTTTTTCAGAGTGTAGTTTTAATGTCTAAGATGATTTAGCAGCTATATATATATTGGGTGCAAAAGGGGAAATGCCATGGTCACGGCTATGCAGTTCTGGTCTCAGGTTGCTTGAATATGCAAATATATGTAGGAGATTAAGGGGGTTTATGGCGGGGTGAAAGTGGCGTCAAATCCAGTGCGCTTTCCCAGTTTATCTATATTTATACTGATAGTTATGGCAACTGTAACAACAGAAGCGATAAACGAGTGAGTAAATAAGTTGATCTTTGCTATCCAGACGTATTGGAAACTTTGTACATACTGGTATATATATATATATATATATATATATATATATATATATATATATATATATATATATATATATATATATCCTATTCAATCAATATTGTTCGCATGTGACAATAATCCTTTATGTACATTACCAGTATAAGTCACTGTACTAATCTGTTGTTGTTATAGTTGGTCTACGTAGCTTATTCGAAACAGGGCGTTCACATAGTAGTGTATATAGAGAAAGTGCGAGCGAACCTAGATCGATTCTGAGTGACTGAACATGATTGCTGAGCTCGTCGAATGTACTATTTCTTGCAAACACAAGGCAATGAAGTTAAGTTTTGCTTTATCTTCTAATATTCATTCACGCAAATAAATGTGACATATATCAAGAGGACACATTCTCTCTCTCTCTCTCTCTCTCTCTCTCTCTCAGATATGAGCCGATGAGATGTTAGGACACATTGTGTTTCCCGTGCAGTGCGATTTTAATAAATACCATATGTTAAAATATTATACCATTGGTATATTTTTCAGCTCTTGGTCTCATCAGCTATGTAGCCTCTACTCGCTGCTCGTACTCTCCTTGGGTCTAGCGCTTCCTCTTGTTGCGGCTTTTCAAAATGGGCCCGCATCGCAGTCAGTCATATACACTAAGGTAACTATATTTCTAAGTATATACATGTACTCTTTTAGTTGACTGTTTTTATTTCTTTATTACATTATCCTTTCATCCCTGTGAACCAAAGCTTAGATAAAATCTTCGAGTAATCGTATCACTTCCGTGTTAAAGTTACCTTTGATATGAGCAAAAATTAAATTCTTAATTCCAGGTGTTCGAATTATATCTATACACCACAGCGATTTTATACCTTCTGTACCTCCACTGGTACTTGATACGCGTTCATGACCCAAAACGGAAACAGCATGGCGCAGTTGCAATTCAAAAGCTCAGGCCAGGCGGGGAAAACGGTTTAACAGACAGTGCAGAAACAGATAACCAGGGGGCCACTACCCTACCAGTGCACCTTGGTGGTAGAGGAATCAGTGTATACCTGCGATATGGAGTAATACGTAAGAGGCTGGTTTGCGGCTATAATCATTATTATGATCCCCGCACTTTTGTGAGAAAGGTCGGGGATCTTGTTATCCATCCCTTCTGTGCGCCTGTGGGCTAGTAATTTCTGCTATCTCCCCCTAGACCATTAGAGTAAGGAAATTGAAATAAATTTTGGGGATTGATAGGGTGCATTCCCAGAGATTTAGATCGATCCAGAGATTTAGATTTAGGCTGTATTCCCAGAGCTTTTAGATCGATCTACTCCCGCGGGGAGTCTCACTAGATTACTGTCAGATAATCCGGTTTAAATGTCCGTCACGCCTACTACAAGCTGTAAGGGGGTAATTAACTTTCGTGTCCGCTCGGCTGACAGCTATTTAGCGTGAACCCCCAGGGAGTTAGGTCGATCTAAAATAGATCGATCTAATCTCTGGAAATGGGGTCTTAGATCGACCTAACTCACTGGGGGTTCACGCTAAATTGCAGTCAGCCGAGCGCGCACCATAGTTAATTACCCCCTTACAGCTTTAAGTAGTCGGGACAGACGCTTAAGCCGACTAAGCTGACAGTAATCTAGTGAGACTCCCCACAGGGATAGATCGATCTAAAATCTATGGAAATGGAGTCATAGATTTATCAACAGGGATGTGCATGGGTATTTTAGAATTTTAGTGCAGCAGGGGATTGGGCTGTTCGGGGGGTTGATTCTAATTTTTATGTTTTCTACTAACCCCCCCTAGACTATTGGAGTAAGGAAGTGCAAACTTTAGGGATGGATAGACCTGTCATCAGGGATGTGCATGGGTACTTTAGAATTTTTGCCTGCCTGAATTAAGGTTGGGTTGCCCCTGAGGGTGGGGGTGGATGATTCTAAGTTCTTTTTCAATTATAATTTCTCCTAAATCTTCCTATTCCATTCAAGTGAGGAAGTTCGAACTTTGGGGATTGATAGACATATTATAAGAAATGTGCATGGGCACTTAGGAATTTTAGTGTGACTGGGGTTTGGGGTTTCCCTGGAGGTGGATGATCCCAAATTCTTTTTACATTGTAAAATTTGCTTTTTGCTCCTAGACCATAAGGGAGGAAGTTAACTTTTGGAATGGATATACCAATCATCAGGGATATGGATGGGCTAGTCATAATTTATGTGCGCATGGGGATTGGGCTGCCCCTGGGGGATGGATGATTTTTTTTTTACATTAAGCCTTTTTTGGTTGATATTTTTTATCTTATTATTGTGAAGATTATTTGCAATAATAAAACATAACGAGCTTGCGTGTGATTCAAGATTTGCAATGAGGATACAGGCTAAATTTGTTCATTGCATATAATCAGCTTAATGTTCTGCCAAATAAATCACACTTTATTGACGATATGCACTAGATATCTTTTATTTTATCTATATTGTTTACTTATTGTTTCACTGCATCAGCTTTGCATTTTAGTGATGTGTATAAAAATCCATTATTTCCACAACTTCTTCAGTTTTTTCCATTGGGACAATTATCTATATTGGATTCCACCTGACAGAGTTCGCCTTGGAAATAGTAGGACGGTGTAAAGACGTCTCGGCTCTCACAGTAACTGTCGGCGTTGTTCATCTACTTTTCACATTTATTCAGACATTCTTCGTCTTTAAGTATCATACAGTAAGTAATAGGAGTGATTTAATGGGATTTGGTAATTATAAGTACATTTGGAAAACACGCGCAATTTGAAAGAACAAAGAGAACAATCAATTTGGACCATTATTAGTTAATTTCTTTTTTAATTGTATTTTAAATGAAGGACATTATGACTTAGTTGCAGGACTTTGATTTCATGTGCCTTATAAGGCAAAAATAAGGTATTCCAATACCCTCTTTTATTATTATTTCTTACTCTATATCGCACACTTATTTTATTTATAATGGGTGTTTCCTGGCTTTTGCTGTGTTTATTAAAATATGCCTATAATATAAATAATTTCAGATCGTCGTGAACAAACACCTAGTGTTCGCAAGGTTCGGGTTTATACACCTTATGATTACCAACCTATGTATTTGGTTGTTGTACGTGATTGTTGAGTCTAGCGACGACTTCTTTGACGACAGCAAAACCACGAACAGTTCCGGCACAGGTAGGTTTCAGCTGATGTGAATCCTTTATACAGCGAACCACATTCAGGGAGTAAGTTTCACGCGAGACGGGAAAGCCCAAATGAAATAACTACGCTACTCATTGCGATAGTAGAGGTAGATGCACAGTTAATGATTGCTAAGAGCAATTTTGCTCACACCTTTGCCTCAAATAAGATAAGAATACAAAAAACGAAAATTTTTCTAAATAAGTTACATTTTGCGGGAATAAATTAATCAGGCATGCCTCATTTTACGTACATACTGATTTTTTTTTTTTTTTGCATATTACACAGAAGAAAACTTTTTAAATTTCGTAAAATTGATTAAAAATGAACATTTTGCATTTTTTTATTGGCCAATATATCTTATTATTTTTTCATTTTTTTTTCTTATAATAATCAAAGCCACCAACCACAATGACGACACGCTAGGATGTACAGCTATAATGTCTATAACAGAGCGGGCTTCACCATATCTCTATCCATGCGTTTTGGAGTACAACATTATTGCTGCAGCAGTTATGTACACCATATACAACACCGTTGGGACACTTCCAAATATCTCGGAAAAGAAGCCGCACAAGCCTAGCATTCATGAGACAATGGATGGAGTATCGAAGGGTTGCGACAAGTCAAACGTGGGGCTCTTTTTAGGCATGCTGGTTGCCATCATCACTCTGATTTCCCTGAGCATTTATTTTGTCTTATTTGCAGAAGCTGGGAGGGATGGTTACCAGTGGCTTTACTTAATTCCTTTTGAGTCGATGATGATTTTTGTGCTCATGGCGTCGCTAATAGCTGTCATAGTTTCTGTGTGGAAGATGAGGATTTTGGACTATCGACAGGAGCAAGATGGGGGAGTCAGTGTATTTCTTATGCTTACGGGCACACTTGGTGGTTACATCGGCAATATATTTGTTGGGATTGCTTTGTTGCATGTTGTGTATACAATGGATACGACGCTCATTCTCACTCTTATTTCAACCTTCCTAAGTGTCATACAGATAACTATTCAAACTTTCTGTATTTTTGACGGAGGCAGACGACAGGTAGCAGACACAAATCACGTGATCCAGAAACCTGGGCGCTCGGCATTGGCACTATTGCTTATCTGCAACCTATGTTTGTGGGTCATTGAAACGCTGGCCGTTAAGAAGGCTTTTGAACATACGACTGTCTTTGAGGACTTATATGGTAACTTGCCTTGGAAAATCATTACTCATGCGACGATTCCTCTAATAATATTTTATCGTTTCCACTCTGCAGCAGAACTATCAGGTATATGGAGTAGGGCATATGTTCCAAAAGTCATCGAACAAGTCGAAGTCACAAAACTTTGAATTCCGTCTAAAATTATCTAAAGATATATATTTTACCAAGAGCGAAAGTCTATTGTACTGTATGTAAAACAAAAAAGGTCTGAGATATCCCAGCANGAAAAGAAAAATATCGGAAAACTAGTATGACTGTCCTCTTCTAATACTATATGCCCATCAAAGAACTGAATAGGAGTTGGAAAAGGGGATTGGTTTCAAGTAAATGGAACCTTATGTAACAACAAAAGTTTATCTTCAATTGTGTATGCCATAAAAATACTGCTTCGCGCTATCGGATGTGAAAATTACTGAGTGTCAAGCTTCTCATGTCAGCTAACAGCATAGTTCTATAGAACTCATTCTGTACATCGTCCAATAAAACACCGAATAGGCCATTACTAATCAATTTTTTTTCTATCCGCTGTACTTTGAAAACACATCCCTAAACAAAACATCTACCTGAATTAGTTTCATCGGTTGTTTCACAAAGCATCAATAACACTATCAACCAGCAAATCTTTCCACTTACCGGTCCGTTACCACTAGCTCGGCATCCGCCATCTTCGGCGCTAAGTAGAAGCTTTCGTTCATTAATATCAGGCTTAGTTGTTGCGTTATTTACATAGGGGGCTCCAAATGGGAAACGACACACGTGGTAATGTGTGACTTTACGGAAACATAGGCGGATACTTTCACTTGCAGATGCACACACGTATTCTATTTTTGATTAGTCTATTTTCCCCAATTCCTAATTTGTGCTTTAAAAACATTTCCCCTACGGGATAAAAAATAAATTAAATGAAATATAAGTTAAAAAGTTTAAATAATGTTGCGGGTGCTAACTTATATTTAAAAAGTTCTTCTCATTGAACCACGTTATTCTCTTTAAACCCATGGCATTGGAAAAATACTGCTTGTTGTGGTCGGTGATTTTAACCCGCTGGGAAGGGTCTTTGATATTCAAAAGCACAAACTATACCCTGAGGCACTCTCGTAAATGTTCAACATTGCCATATTTGGGGATAGTATATGTGACCTTACGTAATTATTAGACGTAATTATTAATTAAGTAAACCCAGTGGTTGATGCAATTAATCTTTATTGATCTGCTGACCACTTCCCCCCTCACTGAATTCTGATCTGTACTTGACCTTGATACACACACACACACACACACACACACACACACGGTAAAAAGGTCTTTGCGAAAGCTGAGTACCTAAAGCTGGGATGCGCCTCATATAACAGCAATGGCCAATCGCAAATCCAAGGGAAAGTAAGTATTAATATATGGCCAAAATGCAGAACTGGTTATAAGTAATTATTGTGGCAGTGCAAGGCAATCTGTTTTACTGAAATTGTTTCAACTCCCAATGGATACTTGCCACGTTTAAATCGAATGGATAAGACATGCAAATTTTGCTACAGCGCGCACACGTACTGACTCCGTTGTGGAGGTGATTACTGTGTCAGTAACACGGGGGACTGGTAACAATAGAAAACGGCGATAAAATACATATGTTCTCTGTATCCCGAGGCCTCTCTAAACCCTAGTGCATGATGATGGGCCAATGGCGTGATTTCAAGACGGTGGTGTATATGGTTAAGTCTATAGAGAAACGGTATTAACCTTAGAGCAATTACAGAAATTGATCTTTTGTTTTCACATATTTATGGTGCCATGAATTGTATTGTCAAATTAGTCACGAACAACAAAGGCAAGACAAAAAACGATGACAAGAACGGCAAGCAAAATGACGGTGCAATACGTTTTGGATCCTTGAGATTCGTATATGTTTGTTCTATACGTGTCTATACGTCATTCAGGTCATGGGAATATATTTATTGCAGTTACGAAAACACCGTAAGAGAGGCTATGCATTATTATGGCCAGGCGGTTTTACTAGTAACGTTTAGCAGTGATACTGCTCAGGTTGAGAAGGATTCGCCTGAGTGTTGTACGTAGCCAAAGTGCGAAAACAGGTGTCAAACCACTAGGTAAATAGTACATTCGAAGGCTCTCGATAGACAGAAATTCAGCCCCACCCAACCACCCATGTTAAAAAATAATAAGATGGTTCATGGCAGTGTAAAGAATGACGTTTGTATAAGTACCTGATGTTAATGTAGTATCAAGTTTTGTGTATAGAGTTGAATTGAATGGGCATCAATGAATAAACGGGAGATCAAACATGGGTGCGCTTTCATGACTATGAAATCAGTGTTGTATTTTATGATATGATATATAAATAATATATGTTAGTTTGAGGGGGAAAATTAGAACTATGTATATGCAGTAAAAATGAACTAGATTCTGTGCAGTGCGTGTCAAAAAAAAAAGACGGTGCATAGGGCCTATGTTAGGTAAGACGTGGTCTGTCTGTCTGTCTGTCTGTCTATCAGGTCTGTCAACTATTTGGACGTGTGCCTAAGTTGTGTAAAATCCAATGTAAATAATACTAAACATGTTGGACTCCTATCAGATGGTCATCCCAAGTGCAGTCAGTATGTGTTACTTACTCAAGTGTTACTTATTCCTTTGATTCACCAATAACTTGATGATCAATCAATTGCATGTGTTTTGTATACTGTAGATGAATGCACTTTGAGATAAAGTGTCGTTATTAATGGCACAGGCACGGATTGCCATGTGCGAATACAGACAGCGCTAAAGACGTTGGTCGTAACCCACAACAACATCATTGAAATTAGTTCAGCCGATTTTCCCATTATATTCTTTCTATTTTGAGTAGTTCAGGCAGAGCATTGTATGAACAGTCAAATGCATCACTTGATGACAGAACAGAATATTTTTCATAATCCAGATCACGAGATGTTATTAAACAGTTTTAAAGCAATCAATTTTTTTCAGAGTGTAGTTTTAATGTCTAAGATGATTTAGCAGTTATATATATATTGGGTGCAAAGGGGGAAATGCCATGGTCAGTTCTGGTCTCAGGTTGCTTGAATATGCAAATATGTAGGAGATTAAGGGGGTTTATGGCGGGGTGAAAGTGGCGTCAAATCCCGTACGCTTTCCCAGTTTATCTATATTTATACTGATAGTTATGGCAACGGTACCAACAGTTGCGATAAACGAGTGAGTAAATAAGTTGATCTTTGCTATCCAGACGTATTGGAAACTTTGTACATACTGGTATATATATATATATATATATATATCCTATTCAATCAATATTGTTCGCATGTGACAATAATCCTTTATGTACATTACCAGTATAAGTCACTGTACTAATCTGTTGTTGTTATAGTTGGTCTACGTAGCTTATTCGAAACAGGGCGTTCACATAGTAGTGTATATAGAGAAAGTGCGAGCGAACCTAGATCGATTCTGCGTGATTGAACATGATTGCTGAGCTCGTCGAATGTACTATTTCTTGCAAACACAAAGCAATGAAGTTAAGTTTTGCTTTATCTTCTAATATTCATTCACGCAAATAAATGTGACATATATCAAGAGGACACATTCTCTCTCTCTCTTTCTCTCTCTCTCTCTCTCTCTCTCCCTCTCAGATATGAGCCGATGAGATGTTAGGACACATTGTGTTTCCCGTGCAGTGCGATTTTAATAAATACCATATGTTAAAATATTATACCATTGGTATATTTTTCAGCTCTTGGTCTCATCAGCTATGTAGTCTCTACTCGCTGCTCGTACTCTCCTTGGGTCTAGCGCTTCCTCTGGTTGCGGCTTTTCAAAATGGGCCCGCATCGCAGTCAGTCATATACACTAAGGTAACTATATTTCTAAGTATATACATGTACTCTTTTAGTTGACTGTTTTTATTTCTTTATTACATTATCCTTTCATCCCTGTGAACCAAAGCTTAGATAAAATCTTCGAGTAATCGTATCACTTCCGTGTTAAAGTTACCTTTGATATGAGCAAAAATTAAATTCTTAATTCCAGGTGTTCGAATTATATCTATACACCACAGCGATTTTATACCTTCTGTACCTACATTGGTACTTGATACGCGTTCATGACCCAAAACGGAAACAGCATGGCGCAGTTGCAATTCCAAAGCCCAGGCTAGGCGGGGAGAACGGCCCAACAGACAGTGCAGAAACAGACAACCAGGAGGATACTACCCTACCTGTGCACCTTGGTGGTAGAGGCATCAGTGTATACCTGCGATATGGAGTAATACGTAAGGGGCTGGTTTGCGGCTATAATCATTATTATTATGATCCCCACACTTTTGTGAGAAATGTCGGAGATCTTGTTATCCATTCCTTCTGTGCGCCTGTGGGCTAGTCATTTCTGATGTCTCCCCCTAGACCATTAAATAAGGAAATTGAAATACATTTTGGGGATTGATAGACCTGTCATCAGGGATGCGTATGGTTACTTTAGAATTTTAGCCTGCCTGAATTAAGGTTGGGTTGTCCCTGAGGATTGGGGGTGGGGGTGGGGGTGGATGATTCTAAGTTCTTTTTCAATTATAATTTCTCCTAAATCCTCCTATACCATTCAAGTGAGGAAGTTCAAACATTGGGGATTGATAGACCTTTTATAAGAGATGTGCATGGGCACTTCGGAATTTTAGTGTGACTGGTATTGGGGTTTCCCTGGAGGTGAATGTAGTATTTGCTAGACCATTAGAAGGAGAAAGTTAAAACGTTTGGAATGGATAGACCATTCATCAGGGATGTGGATCGGTTACTCATAATTTATGTGCGCATGGGGATTGGGCTGCCCCTGTGGATGGATGGTTCTTTTTTACATTAATGGATGATTCCTTTTTTTGTTGATATTTTTATGTTGTTTTTGTGAAGATTATTTGCAATAATAAAACATACCGTGTTTGCATGTAATTCAATGCAATGGGGATACAATTGGGCATAGATTGCATATAATCACCTTAATATTTTGCAAAATAAATCACACTTTATTGACGGGAACCTAAGCATAATGTACTACCGGGTAGATATCTATTAGTTTATCTATATTGTTTATTTATTGTTTCACTGCATCAGCTTTGCATTTTAGTGATGTGCATAAAAATCCATTATTTCGACAACTTCTTCAGTATTTTCCATTGGGACAATTATCTATATCGGATTCCACCTGACAGAGTTCGCCTTGGAAATAGTTGGACGGTGTAAAGACGTCTCGGCTCTCACAGTGATTGTCGGCGTTGTTCATCTACTTTTTACATTCATTCAGACATTCTTCGTCTTTAAGTATCATACAGTAAGTAATGGGAGTAATTAAATGGGATTTGGTAATTTTAAGTACATTTGGAAAAAACGCCAAATTTGAAAGAACAAAGAGAACAATCAATTTGGACCGTTATTAGTTAATTTCTTTTTTAATTGTATTTTAAATGAAGGACATTATGACTTAGTTGCAGAACTTTGATTTCACGAGCCTTAGAAAGGCAATAATAAGGTATTACAATACCCCTTTTTTTATTATTTCGTACTCTATATCGCACACTTCTTTTATTTATAAAGCTTATATTCTGGCTTTTGCTGTGTTTATTAAAATATGCCTATAATATAAATAATTTCAGATCGTCGTGAACAAACACCTAGTGTTCGCAAGGTTCGGGTTTATACACCTAATGATTACCAACTTATGTATTTGGTTGTTGTACGTGATTGTAGAGTCTAGCGACGACTTCTTTGACGACAGCAAAACCACGAACAGTTCCGGCACAGGTAGGTTTCAGCTGAGGTTAATCCTTTATACAGCGAACCACATTCAGGGAGTCAGTTTCACGCGAGACGGGAAAGCCCAAATGAAATAACTACGCCACTCATTGCGATAGTAGAGATTGATTCACAGTTGAATGATTGCTAAGAGCAATTTTGCTCACACCTTTGCCTCAAATAAGATAAGAATACGAAAAACGGATTTTTTTCTAAATAAGCTACATTTTGCGGGGAAAAAAATCAGACATGCCCCATTTTACGTAAATACTGATTTTTTTGCATATTACACAATTAATTTGAATATTTAAATTTCGTAAAATTGATTAATAATGAACATTGTACATTTTTATTGGCCAATATACTATAATTTTTCATTTTATTTCTTATATAATCAAAGCCACCAATCACAAAGACGACACGCTAGGATGCACAGCTATAATATCTATAACAGAGCGGGCTTCACCATATCTCTATCCATGCGTTTTGGAGTACAACATTATTGCTGCAGCAGTTATGTACACCATATACAACACCGTTGGGACACTTCCAAATATCTCGGAAAAGAAGCTGCACAAGCCCAGTATTCATGAGACAATGGATGGAGTATCGAAGGGTTGCGACAAGTCAAACGTGGGGCTCTTTTTAGGCATGCTGGTTGCCATCATCACTCTGATTTCCCTGAGCATTTATTTTGTCTTATTTGCAGAAGCTGGGAGGGATGGTTACCAATGGCTTTACTTAATTCCTTTTGAGTCGATGATGATTTTTGTGCTCATGGCGTCGCTAATAGCTGTCATAGTTGCTGTGTGGAAGATGAGGATTTTGGACTATCGACAGGAGCAAGATGGGGGAGTCAGTGTATTTCTTATGCTTACGGGCACACTTGGTGGTTACATCGGCAACATATTTGTTGGGATTGCTTTGTTGCATGTTGTGTATACAATGGATACGACGCTCATTCTCACTCTTATTTCAACCTTCCTAAGTGTCATACAGATAACTATTCAAACTTTCTGTATTTTTGACGGAGGCAGACGACAGGTAGCAGACACAAATCACGTGATCCAGAAACCTGGGCGCTCGGCATTGGCACTATTGCTTATCTGCAACCTATGTTTGTGGGTCATTGAAACGCTGGCCGTTAAGAAGGCTTTTGAACATACGACTGTCTTTGAGGACTTATATGGTAACTTGCCTTGGAAAATCATTACTCATGCGACGATTCCTCTAATAATATTTTATCGTTTCCACTCTGCAGCAGAACTATCAGGTATATGGAGTAGGGCATATGTTCCAAAAGTCATCGAACAAGTCGAAGTCACAAAACTTTGAATTCCGTCTAAAATTATCTAAAGATACAGGTATATATTTTACCAAGAGCGAAAGTCTATTGTACTGTATGTAAACAAAAAGGTCTGAGATATCCACAGCAATTCTCCAGTACCTACTTGGGTCTATCAATACCTTATTGACCCATTTTAAAAATCCCTAATACACCAGGGCGCATATAAAATCTGTAGGGTGTATAAAATACGTGCCAAACTTGAAATGTAACTTCTCGAACACTATCCCCTAAGATTCGACGATATTTCACTGTACAGTACGTAACTGTATTGCCTTTGGTACTAGGAAATCCGTATTGCTTTTATTTTAATTTCATACCAAAAAGTGATTTATTTGAAGCTAAGAAAGAAGTAGCCTTTCTTAGCGGACGAGTGAAACGGGTCTTTTATTTTTATATATAAATAGGTTATATGAACAACAAAGATTGTTAATTTTTAAACAACATTCTTATGTACAAGACGCCTTATGCACGGAAAAATATACCGATTTGCAGAATTGAAAACGATGTTCAAGAAGGAATGTCTTATCATTTCAAGACTTTAAAACCAGTTCCTATCCACTGCTTTAGTCTAAAAGCAACTAAAATCCCGTGTTGGGGATATACCGGTTTTACCTTCTATTACCGGTGCCAATTGCAAACTTACTTACCTTATCTTGCATATCAATTTTATCAGCAGAATATATATTTCCTAGACCCATTTCTTAATAAAATGTTCCATGAGGATGGATTGAATAAATTTTCTTTATTTTAGCAAAGGGATTCTAGTCTTTGTATTGGTGTTTAATATCTTCCTTTTTGATACACATCTATATATGCATTCACGTACGTACATAAAATTCATTTGATGAGGTTTCGCTTACTGGGAAGATGTAGCATTTACGTAAAGTCAAGTGCTGTAAATCACCTATGCGATAATCCGCTGACATAATTACATTAGAAGTTTAGCCTACACAGCCCAAACACACAGTTGGAGGGTGCCTTGTAATGATGGACGCATTCCTCTGTTACATGATCTTTAAATATCCATAGTAATACATCATCTCCCGCCGCGATTCTGAGTAACCTGTATTTCTCCGCGCTGTTGCCTCGTGTTGGTGAAAACTATAGCTTAATTACTTAGCTTCAAGCCTTACTAGCGTTATGCTGAAAAGAGGCTATTCCGCGGAGAGTCAAGGTAAGCTGTGTTGGTAGGCGTTGGTAACAGAAGTTCTAGGACGAGGTTGCGGTGAGCTAGTGGAAACGTCAGTAAGAATCTTCTGCAATTATCGATCCTGGTTTTGGGTGTTTTGAGGTACCTACAACGACCTTTCAAGCATTATTCCATGCCTTGATGCCTTATGATATCAACGTGGTTTTACATGCACAGGTGGTGAAGAACATGGACAAAAACCCGGCCCAGACAGGCCACAGGCAAAGGTATTATAAATGGATACTCCCTGATCTTGTTATTACACATACATGTATGAAGTTGATTTAGCTGTTATGAAATGTTTGTGAGCTCCTGTTTAACATTAGGTAATAGTTTTTATAAATGAATAGCTCAAAAGCAACGTGGTGAAAAGTACCGGAAATTTATGCACTGTGAATCGGGTAGTTTGTAGCTTTTATCAATCTTCGACTGCAGATTAAATCTGGTAATGCTACAGATTTGCTGTACCTCGTTCATAACATAATTAAGAGGCGTTCGCCCGCACGCATGCAAGTGTGTGCGTGTGTACGTGTTGTGTGAGGCTCTGAGAGTAAAAGTATTAACAGTTGCATTCTTTGCTTTAAATGCCAGCAACTGTTATATCTTCATTAAGTGATAGTCGACGCCCATCCTATCTTTGGAGTCAATCTATTAAGTGAGGCAATAAATCTGGGTACTTTGAGTTTCATCCAAGCTTTGTGAACAACATATCTACATCACTGTAACGTTTTAGACAAATAAGACACAGTAGCGAGCCACGTTCAAAACACCTCCATACCGGTTACCTAACTAATTTTTTCAAGACGCAGGTGAAAATGAAATCAAGAAAAAAATAAAAACGAAAAAAGCCGCTAACACCGCGGAGTGTCAGGTAGACCGATCTCTTGGAAATACACACTTAAAACCTTTTCCAACTCTTCTCTTTTGCGTTTTTGGCAGCAGATCAAGGCTTGCTCAGTACGTAACCGTTGTTTCCCATAGCAAACCCAGCGGTCGATGAGCTGAGTAGAATAGCGCATTCATTTGGTCCCGTCGCGTTGTTACATAGGGTTAGTCTGGTTAACTTAACAGGAAGGAATATTTTTGCTGAGAAAGCACACAGACATACAGAATATTAAAAGCCAAGGCAATAATCATGCCAGATTGAGTCTTTTTAAGAGTGGTATTCTATATCATTTATTATGACTCATTTTAGAGCACCGGGCATATTTGTCATACGTTAATTTCTGTTGCTGTTTCGACCTATGGCAAGCACATGTAATCACTCTTGGTGTTGGCTCCAAGGGCATAGGAACCATGCAGAGACTGCAAATAAATTTGTTCAGGCAACGAAATTACATTGATTGTACTTTTGCGTTAAAATAAAAATCAACAGACCCTTGCCCACTAAAACGATATACATACAAAAGAGAGTCTGACAATCAAAATGAAAAGTAAATAAAGAAATAATTACATCTGTGGGCAATTGATACAAAAACTAACGAAGCTACCCCCACCCAACCAAATAATACTTGTAATTGTCAGCTCCGTTAACGTTGCAATATATATATATATATATATATATATATATATATATATATATATATATATATATACTGAACCCATGCTAACTTCTCTCTGAGACCATGGAAGTTTATCTGTAGAGAAACTTTCATGCTGAGACAGTCCGTGAGTGCAGTGCTAGCACACAAAAAGAAACCTCGCACTGACGCTAAGGACTGCAAGCACTATGGTTATGGGTTCTAAAATGGCCATTAAACAAAACATATGGTACCGCATATCTATTTTCAGGGCCCGTTGTTCGCAAGAGAAGAACATGCAGCTGTACGCAATATATAATGAGATATAATCACTTGCTTTCAAGTTCTTTATCAGTACATGTTCCAAAATTATAGTAAAAAAGCTTTATCTATAGTCACATTCTGCTTTAAGATTAGAAGTCGTAGACCCGTTACGACCAGCACTTCTGCGGGAACGCGAATTATCCTTGTATATATGTATGAAGTGTTTTAGTTCATTGCAGGTAAAAGAAAATGCCAGGCTCGCGATTAAGGTACCACTAAAACACGCATTAGAACATATGGTTTAACAACTAAAGTGTGGGATATTCACATTAATAACCTCAAAATGTATCTCATATCCCAAGGTATATGTGCACTGTTAAAAAAGTGCAGCAAAAACAAATAATTTAGTAAAAAATGATATCCAGGATGGTGACATTAGGATCTTTTTCTCGACCTTAAGCCCCCAGTTTGATTTTACATCGGTGTTGTCAGTTGTTAATGAAATTGCCATCGAACAGGAAACCGAAATAGATCACAGCATTTAACTGCCCTGGCACATTTCAGCTATTGCGTTAATTTGATAAACGGGTGTAAGTTGTTCAAATGTAAAGCGAATTAAGTGACCGAAAAATAATTTAGTTTGGTGTTACCTCAGTTAGAATCTACCGTAAATCATATCTACTTTCAAGGTTTATGGTACTCAACAGTGATGATTAAATATCCCGCCATCGTAGCGTTGGCCATCCCCTCGTTTCATATAACCAATCTCCCGCTTATCCACCTACACACCAAGTCATCCACCACCACCCATTCTACCGACCCACTCAACCGTCTACTGACCCACTCAACCATCTACCGACCCAATCAACCGTCTACTGACCCACTCAACCATCTACCGACAAATCAACCGTCTACTGACCCACTCAACCATCTACTGACCCACTCAACCATCTACTAACCCACTCAACCATCTACCGACCCAATCAACCGTCTACTGACCCACTCAACCATCAATTAGTGCATTCATTTATCCACTCTACCGAACATACACCCCTCTTCCCTTCTTCCTCTTTTATTTTAAAACATCCATTCGATTCCATTAATAACTTGAAAAAATAAAATAAATATCTATAAAAAGAATACTACTTTTTTTACAAAGCACTGGGAGTACACATCAGTTTCCTATTAATACCATCTGGATTGTTTCCTGTGAATACAGAGCATGCATTAAATCCGTAAAATTTCCAGTCCTCAGGCATCAGGAATATTTCAATATTAAATATGTGTTGATGGGGGATACAGGGGTCCAGGATATCTTTATATATACATGAACATGAAGGGGGATACAAAGATTAAAATTTTTACGATGCCTTGCTCGGCGTGTGCGTGTGAAAGTATGTGAAAAAGATATAAAGCAAGCTGAAAGCACCAGCAGGAGGCCATGTATGCGCCCTCCCTGTCCTTCTTTCGTGTACATCATGCACGACATTTATGTTTTAGAAAGCTTTTCAGTATGGTTCAGTGGGATATGCGGACACATGTTCTCGTAATTAACATTGCCATAAGGGAAATTCACTTAATGGTAACCTTTCGTAAATGAACTTGCAGGTGAGCTAACCTAAATTTTAAGTTCAAACGCTCAGTGTAGTCATGTGCCAAATACTGTTGATCCAGGGATATAGTCAGGGACGCGTTTCCGTGAGAATATGCGCTAACATATTCCACATGGCCTGGTTCCCGTTTTTTAACACAGCATGGGAAAAAGACACTATCTGCGACTTACACAACCATATATCTATATCATATTATTCCTTACTTGTCTTGAATTTCATGTTGTCACGCCCCAAGTTTTGGATGTCATGTGATAAAATAAATTACAATAACAATAATTATCATAGTACATCGAAAATGGAATCACGGTCGACAGGTCAACTGTGTGAGACCGCTCACGGAATTTCTGGATAATGATAATATCAAATAAACGCTTGTTTAATACCTTAGGAGGGAAAGCTTATGGGGAGTTTTATTTTAAATTGATGTACAACTTTCAAGCTTTTCATTATTCTTTAAGGTCTGCCCTGACGCGCCAGCTCAGTAGTCTGTACGCCGTGTTTATTCTCACCCTGGGTCTCATCTTCCCCCTGGCGGCGGTTCTAGAGAGGGAACGCGGAGTTAATCTCTACTTGGCAGAGGTAGGTTGTCTTGTGTGTTCAGACTGATTAGTGATCTTTGGAGAGAATTACATATTTCAACATGCATTTTCCTGTCGCGGCTTACTTTTAAGTTACTAGGTTACATGTAAGCATTTTTTCAGAACCCATGTACTTTTATGTGATAGCAAGATTAGCGTCACTTTTACGATAAGGTTACAATACTTTCATTTGTCAAATATGGTGATAAATCGAAAGTTCAACAATGGAAAACAACCTTAACACTGAGATGTTAATTGAATTAAATGCTCCCTTTTAGGCGCTTCAAGTTTACCTGTACTTGGTGGCAATAGCCTACCTTCTCTACCTGGAACTTTACTTACTGCGGGTCTACAATCCCAACAGACGACCTATACCAAAACGTCATGTGATCATTCACGTGGAAAAGGGAGACCCGTCATACAGCAAGCATTTGGACCCTGAAGAGGAAGGGATAGAATTCACTGATAAAGAGCGTCCAGAGGTGCATCATGGGGAACAGGGCATCAGCCATTATCTGAGGCTGGGAGCAATACGTATGTCTTATTTCGATATAGTTTGGGTTCATTTATGCATGCAATATGATCATATTGTATCTACATTTTGCAAAATATATCAGTTTAAACAGCTGGTATGTTTTCTAAAGAGAGCTGAAAAAGGGAAATCATTCTGTAATACACATGTAGAACACTTCATAAATGGAGGCATATCTCCGATATTGCTTTTTAATAAATGACCACAAAAAAAAATTCGGTACTATAATTAAAATGAACGCAACACTGGAGTTTGATATTAATTTTTAGGCCAGAATTTAAAGTCAACTAAAAAATAATGACAGACTAACAAGTACGATGCCGCTTCGAATGAAATATAACAAAATTTATCCAGGAATATTTTTGATGTTTTCTATTTAATTTGATAGAATTACAGGTTTTTCCACAACAGTGCATATTCACCACTTTTTGCAAGTTCCCTGTGACGTCACGATAACCTCATTTGAGACCATCTAGGACGAATATAGTTACCATAAACTGAGTGTGGAACATCTGCCTTGAATTGCACACTATAAATTATTATTATACTTTCAGTATTCGGCGTCGGTGCGCTGATCTACGATGGGTTCAGAATTGCCGAATTTGTGCTGGAGAACGGACAGGGTTGCCGCACCATAGCAGACCTGGTCATCACGTCATTACATCTCATCTTCACCTTCATTCAGACGTTTTTCCTGTTCAAGCACTGCACGGTGAGATGGACAAAGCTTAAATTAAGAACTAAAGCTTGTATCAAGGCGAAATTATTGGGAAACTTATATGTAAAAAGAAATGGTATTTTAAGTTTAGAATTCGAAGTGTACTCTTTGGCATTAATTAGAACTTACATGTAAACTTAGCAAATAATTTGAAAGTAAACAAGTATCAAAGGTTGTATTTGAGCGTGATGAATATCTTCACAAACGTGAAACTTAAGTATAATTATAAATACATCCCCTTTGTCAAGTAATTATTTGTGTTAATAATATCTCAACATGATATCCTTATCTAATATTCTCTCAGTAGTATAAAATACATATATGTCTTATGGATATAAAAAGAACACAATTTCGTTGAATAATGAAGTCGATCAGTTCACCAATTAGCAAAAGCAACATTCACAAAGTTCACGCACAGGTTGCATTTGCTATATTGCAATAATTACATACCACATATATAACGCAGGCACTCTACTGAACTTGTCATGAACTTATTAATCAATTGGTCAATCAAAACACGAGCACTTTTATTTAAAGATCGTGATAAACAAGCACAAGGCGTTTGCGAGATTCGGTGTGATGCATCTTTTGGTCACCAACCTCTGCGTGTGGCTGTTGTACGCGGTGCTGGAGACAGAAGAAGACTACAGGAAGGACACTTTGACACAATCTGAACTAGATGTTAATGACACTGGTGAGTTTTTCGGACCATCTTTCCAAAGTCGTTGACAAACTTTTTTTACCAATGCTTTAACCGTTTGTACTTCAATATTATTTCAGACCTCGGGCCATTATTTCAATAGGAGAATTCTCAGTTTTAAAAATATACTTTTAAAGTAAAGTAACAGAGAAGCTGAGGGAATATTTGATGCAACTTTTAAGTTAAACTTTAGAATCGACTGGTTAAACCAATGTGAATTGCAAGTAGCCCAAACGAGAATCTGGTGTCGTTTAAATTCAAATGTAGGTAAACCCTTTTATTATTTTTATTTATTTATTTATTTATTTATTTTTGTAGTAAAAGGTAACAACAGTGACGACAATGGACCTTTAGCCTGTTTTGCGGACGTCACAATCACGGATCAAGCATCCCCCTATTTGTATCCATGTGTGCTAGAATACAGCATCCTAGCTGCGGCGGTTACCTACGGCATATACCTCAGCATTGGCACCGCTGCACCAGTGAGAGTAAAGATGCCACGGATTACCAAAGCCATACAAAACACGGTTCGCATGGGTTGCCAAAAATCGAATATCGGACTTTTTCTCGGTATTCTTGTTATGATCCTGACACTGGTTGTCCTCAGTCTGTATTTTGCTTTTCATAATAACGACGCCATTGAGATTGAAACAGCTGACGGTCTGTCTCTGATTCTATTCTCTTCATTAGAATTGCTGCTCTTGCTGCTGTCTTTGGTCGCCGCCATTGTCGGATTTTTCAGACTTAGGTCGTTGGATCATCGTGGTTGGAAATGGGGGACACTGAACGACGGGGTGATGTTAATTGGAACCGCCGGTGTCTATATATGCAACGTCCTCATATGCATCGCTCTCTTCCAAGTGTTTTTGGACCTTGACGTTACGGTCATACTCAGCCTTGTAGCGTCCCTGTTTGCCATCTTTCAAGCATCCTTTCAAACCCTGTTCATCAGCGATGGATGCAGACGATACGCCAAGGACAAGGAACAAGCCAATGAGAAGCCGGGACGCAGATCCGTGGTGTTTCTTCTCATCTGTAACCTATGTATGTGGATCGTTGATACGTTAGCGGTAAAGAAGGCAGAAGAGCACAATGCCCTCTATGCTGATCTCTATGGCAACCTGTGTTGGAAAATTGTGACGCATCTGGCAGTGCCTTTGATAATCTACTACCGCTTCCACTCTGCTGCCACCTTGTGGATGATTTGGAGTAGAGCATACGAAATGTAATTTGCTTCCTTCTTTCAATGTCAGACTCCAGAATTAGACGGCGAGCTCTTATTCAAATTTTGATGGCATATACATGTATCCAGAAACCAACAGCCCAACCTGAAGTTCCATATTGCCGCCATACGTTCACCTTTGTTGTTCAAGAACCTGATGCAGTAGTTGGACATTTGGTAATATATCCAAACCAGTAAGGGATCTCGTTTGAGAGTGTTTTCACGAAACATTTCTGCATTTAACGGATCAATGAATCAAATGGATTTCATTGCACTGTTTATGACCAATGAAGCACCTTGGAAGCGATGTATCCAAATACGACCCTGCCCCTTTCATCAGAGAAAATATTAGTGTTTATGAATACCGTTATTGACACAAACAGACTTTTCTCTCGTTGACACCAGGAAAAATATTTGGGCTCACAGTCTCTAGGACCACAGATACTTGCAACTTTACCTCTTCTCTAAACTATTCAGGATGGTTGCCTAAATGTCTTTCGGCGAGGGGTGTAAGGTTCTTCTTGGGTAACAAAAATAGCAATGCGGTAGGTGAACTTCTGCAGCATCGCCCGTGCAATGTGTATGATGACGCAGCTACCGCATTTTTACGAATGCCACCTTACTACTAGCATATTACGCAGTTATTCGCCGATAAGTTTAATAAGGCTGACAAAGCGTTTACTCGCTGTTAACACAAACTGTATTTTATTTATATATATTTGAAAGCATATATCTAATTTTGTAATTTTTAAAGTTGTCTGAGTTTTTGATTTGGATTCTAGTTTGTTTCCAATGATGTTGAAACATGAGAATATTAATCTAATTTTACATGTATTTTACAATGGTTTGATATTTACATGTATTTTGCAATGGTTTGATATCTAGCTTTAGCTTTTGTTGGCCATTTTTAACATTTAGACGTAAATTCAATGTGGTTTGAAATTCAAATGTTTTCTGAAAGATTTTTCTATACTAAATATTGTACTTCACAGACATAAGAAATAAACGCTTCTTTTATAAATTATTAGTTACATACATTTGTCCGTCTGGTATATACGACAATATTTGCCCCGCAAGCCTGCCTAGAATGCACAATTGTGATTGCGAGTTTTTAACGCTAACAACATTCTTCACAGCCCCCGGTTTGTTACCATGTCATGACTGCGCGTAAACAAACACTGACCCAGCCTGATTTGATCCCACACCCCCAAAATAGAAAAAAAGAACTCGCGCATTAATATGCACCGACGGGGTAATTATAATGGGTTATTGCTGTATAAAAAGAGGTGCAGCATATAAGCACGGGCCTCTCTCTAATAGAGAGCCCTAGGGTCATGCCTTGTTGAAAGGCTAAATAATTCAGCTCCATCAATCAACATTTACTTTAAATTAGAAAACGAGTAACAATTACGTCCCTTCTATAGCACGGCAGCCTACTGTGCATAAAAAACAGGATGCAGTTTCCTGAAGTGTAGGCAGGTTGTATTATAGTGTGAACTCGGTGCATTTGATACACTTTTAAATAGACTGGTTCAACCAGAGTTTTCTCCCCTTAAAATGTCTTCACGTATCTCCCCCCCCCCGCCCCGCGCCCCCCTGCCCCCCCCCCCCAAACGCTTAACCATGTGCATACAGTATCTTTTTCAAAATGGATTTCTTATATTATTTTGTGTTGATTATAATATCTGGATGACTAAAAAAAAGCAAAATTATGATTGGTATATGTTCGTAGATATACATGCATGGCGGCTCACGGAATGTACCGACAAGCAAGAGTTCCCTGTTCCCTGAAGTTATTTCTGGGTATTATTTAGTTCATTGCTTACAGTTTTTGCTATGCAAAGTCGCTAAGTTCACTGAATGCCGCTCTGATTGACACGGCAAAACTAATCCACTCTGTCTGGATGGTATCTATGCCAAAACATAATTTCTGGATAAACACTTTTGGTTATTGATATTACAGTAGAGCCCTAGTATAAAGGTTAAATAAATAAGAAATATTACCATTCAGGTTTATGAAGAATAACATGACATGTGACATGTGACGTATCACCTTTGCCACCAGATGTCGCAGAGGTTGCACAAACACAACATTATAGCCAATGTATCTTCCACAAAGGATATCGTCTTGGAAATTATGCATTTATTATTATTATTATTATTAATTTTATAGAAAACGCACATTCGTTGCCCCGGGGTGCTTTTTGAACCATTAAAAGACCCAACCCGTTAACGCTACGTGCCTACCCTTTGTCTTTTTCTACCAGTACAGGAAAGATTTATTGACGCATTTTGGCAAGGATGAGGTTCCTAATTGCGTATCGAACGTTCAATTTTCATGCTCACCGCAATTCCCTTTCCTTGTCAATTTCCTTTTGAATTACGTTAATATTTGCCAAAGAGAAAGGCAGCAAATAGACGGGAGAGATAGAACCAAATGCAGGTCTGTGGATATTACATGGACTGTGTATTTGTTCAGTGATACTCTGTTAACATTTTGCGAAAGCCTCCTTGTCCAAGAAAGCAAATATCATTCATCGAGAGCTGTTGGCAAATACTCCTTGCTGGACCCTCCGTATTAATCTTAAAATCCAATATTATGAATTCCGAGTCCTAGCATACTTGAAAGAGAGAGGTGCCAAGTGGTTTAATTGATCAGTATCCGGAAAGAGCCGGAGACGGGAAGCAGAAGGGGTTTCCTCCATAGCAAATAATGGCTTTCTTTCCTTAAACCAATACAACTGCAGTGATTTCCTAATAATCTCATACTGTCTGCTGCTTTTTCGATATGACTGTTGGCCTCTAATTTCTGTTCTCAATGTCTTTTCAGACATTTCTACTGCCAAAATTGATACACTTAGACTGACTTTATGACTAGGATTCAGACAATGCTACAAAAAAGGAGTGCAGTAGTAGGAGGGAATAACGCTCCTTTTAGTTAAATAATGTTGCTGTTCATTATCATTATTTTTATCTTTTAAATTGATTTTTTTTTTGCCTTTGTAGTTTTTTCTACTCTTATTATCAACCTTTGCTACTTGGAGAAATATGGATCGAATATTCAGAGCGTTTTCTTAAGCAGGCATTACAGTATATATGTATTTGCAAGTTTATGATCAACTAAATGCCCTTAAAATTAGTGTAGCTGATCGCCAAGAATGAAGGTCTATCCGATGATAGAATGAAATGGACATAAAATTATGCTGAAGCGTTACACACCAGCACAAAACTGCAACCCAGACATACAGATATTTTCTAAAGCGTATAGTCGGCGTTCTCCGTTTGATTAACTGCGAAAACACGCCACAGGTGCCTCTTCACCTTTCGGGATAATCTCTCAGCAGAGCAGAGCAAATATCCCATTACTTTTGCCCGATGTATTACAGCACCCTGCACACAGCCTAAGATTGCCACTTAACAGTCCGCCAAGAAGCAGATGCATGCTGTCTCTTAAAGACGGCCAGGAAGGCGTGGAAGACGTGCTGTTACGTCATTCACTTTAATTTACTGTCATTTTGTACGTATAAACTATCGATTTTACAGCGCAGCGATAATCAAGCCGCTCAATCTTCGCATCGATAGTCACGATCTTCGATTTTTTAATCCTATCGTCGATAGGCGAAGCAGGTTTTTAAAAGTGGCAAAATAGACCCACATGTAGCAGAGAGCTTTACCTGCATATTAATTCTACCTGTAAGACCTTGTTTGTTCAGCGGAAGAAAAGCAGATGTTATTTGGCCCGGTGCTACTACGACCTTCAGCGAGAGAGAGAGAGGCTAGTCACTTCGGTGTCACTTCTACCTTGAGTTTATACAAACGTGCAAATGCAGGCAAGAACAGACTGAGAATACAATAGGATGATGGGAAAAACTGAGCAGAGCCGAAGTAGAAACAGGTACGTCAATTTCACAGAACCGTACAACGTACGGAGCATATGTTTCCTTGTTTTCAAATGCTTTATGGCCTTGCTAATGTATTGATAGAGGGGTTTCTATTGTCGGAAAGTCATTTCCGTCGTGACCGATTCACATTTAGTGATGCGTGATCTACGGAAATACCAAGAATTTGTTATATTATCGCGTGAAAGCCCGAGGTGTATTTCGAGCATCGTCTCACTGGGACCTCATGCATCTTCCACCAGCAAACAGCCAACCAAACATGATCAAACAAACTTTATCCTCTGGATGTGTAATACTTATAATACCAAGTTAACTGACTTTTGACAACAGCACATTTGGAGTATGGTTTGTTAGACGCGGACAATAAGTTTATAGGACTGGTCTTGAGACTACGAAAATAAATGAAATAATATATGTGAAAATATGTTATGGTCCATTAGACGTTTCACTTGAGATGGTTTGATAAGTGGTTTAGTATTTACACGTCCAGCCCTATTTAATGATAATGCTACCGGCATTATTACGGCTATTTTTTGAACTTGCGTCGGCTCTCATGGGCCATGCAAGCAATTCTCAACAGTTAACCTTAATTTCCGCTGATCGATTGATCATTTTTATACAGGCAGCTTTTACAAAAATCTAGACACGCACCCAACGCTACATCGACTGACTGGTTATTTTTTTTTCTTTTTTTGTATTTCATTATTGCTTGTTTCAACTATTGGTAACCCGATATGTTAATCTTCTTACAAAGTGAAAGAAAAAAGGACATGAGCACGCATTATCTTGTAAAAGTAGAATTAGGTAAAACAAACACAATGCGTGCTCTTATACCGAGAGTGTTAGACTAATCGTTAAGTGAAGAGGGTAAAGTAACGGGTTCTCGGCGAATAGAGACCTTTCTCCATTGTGTGTAGCACTCTCCAGTGCTTGTAATTACTTAGTACCGGACAAAACTGAGCAAATACAACACGTTTAAGATTACCCGTGGGAGTGAAAGGTAACGAAATACCCAACAAAGGGGCAAAAAATGTATACGTGATACAAAAATGAGGGATAAAATGGAATGGGACAGATGGGTATTTTCCCAGACCTGTCGATAGTTCTGATTTTGGCTAACGCTACATTGCGTGTTTATTAATGGTTAACCTTTTGTTAACCAAATAAAAAACACAAGGGATTTCGTATGTTAGGCCTATTGGGATTGATGCTATTTCAGGCACGTTGATTACAGTCGATTGAGTAAGAGCCAGTGCAATTTTCTAAGTGCAAGGAGTGTATTGGCCAGATGGTACTATTACATGCCTGTTCAACATTAAATAAACCCCAGTAATGCGGTGCTTGGAATCCATAAAATAATTGCGATGTTTTTGTTGTCATTATAATTACAGTTCGCTAAGTATACCTATCTTTCTCTTATTTTCTCAGAAAAATTATTAAAAAATCGATAACAATTACATCTGCTGTTCGTTAAGTTTGGTGCGGCAATACACAGAGCTCTCTCGAGCGTTTCTAACTCAAGGTCTTTCTTCTCCTGTATGGTATTGTCCACTGTAGTCTTCTTTGTTGCACGGCGAAATCCAATCATGCCTGTCTATTCTCAGAGGACATCTTTTTACCCCATTCCGATAAATCAATATTTAGCAGCAACATATGATCCTGTGTCTACAAATGCCGGGGGAAATGAATAGTGATTTTGAACCATTCTTATTACAGTTAGGATCTGATGGTCTTTGTCTCACATTGGCGTGATAGTTGAACAAAGGTCTCTGTACAAGAAGGCAGGTGCATTCCCCCCTTGCAAATAACCAACATTGAAGAGCCCGTTGATTGGAGATGAGGCGGACAAAAAGATATTTTAACATCTTTTAAAATGGCTTAAAAGCCATCTTTTAGTTACTGAACAAAGCGCCGACCATCGACTTATCGCGTTCACATCCTAAAACGCCGTAAACCAAATCGTCGCGCTTGGTAATTTATAACGACTGCTTACATAAGATGAATAAGTGGAAAAGTATAGGAAGGCAGGAGATTTTTTAAATATTAATCATATAAAGTTAAGCTAGAGACTAAGTATAAACACTTGTTCGATGCAACATGAATTTCACCAATAAGTGAACAGAGAAAAGTCAACTGCAAAGAAACTTACCAATATAGATCATTATAACTATTACAATCTGTTGATCCCATCAGATCAAACGGTCTATTTTAAATCAAATGATAGAAAACATCTCATTTGGACAATACGTTCCTCAAATCACACCACTTATACTAAGGAGGGTAGGCCCACCTCTTGCTTTCTTACACAAATCGTATTGACATTAACAGGACCCACAAAGCCTTGGAGAGCTTTTAGAACCACCCCTTTCAAGAAATTATGTTAATGCTCCCCCGGAGCATTAGGGGTTGTTTACCATGGGGTATTAAACCACCTCAAGCTAAATATGAATAAATTATTTACCACTTCTTTTCTGTGACGTCTTTATAGTAACTAGAAGCACGGGGATCTCATTGTCATTACATCACGTTCATCGCGTGCGCCTACTCTACCTGCGCCGCCGTTTGTACTACCTTTCTATATACAACTGTATACAACGCTGGTAGTTATGGTAAAAATATAAGCCTTTACGAAAACTAAGACGAAAGAGCATGNTGCCCCCCTTCCCCCCCCCCCAAACGCTTAACCATATGCATACAGTATCTTTTTCAAAATGGATTTCTTATATTATTTTATGTTTGTTTTATGATTATAGTATCTGGATGACTAAGAAAAGCAAAATTATGCATGGCGGCTCACGGAATGTACCGACAAGCAGGAGTTCCCTGTTTGAAGATATTTCTGGGTATTGTTTTTAGTTCATTGCTTACAGTTTTTGCTAGGCAAAGTCGCTAAGTTCACTGAATGCCGCTCTGATTGACACGGCAAAACTAATCCACTCTGTCTGGGTGATATCTATGCCAAAACATAATTTCTGGATAAACACTTTTGGTTATTGATATTACAGTAGAGCCCTAGTATAAAGGTTAAATAAATAAGAAATATTACCATTCAGGTTTATGAAGAATAACATGACATGTGACATGTGACGTATCACCTTTGCCACCAGATGTCGCAGAGGTTGCACAAACACAACATTATAGCCAATGTATCTTCCACAAAGGATATCGTCTTGGAAATTATGCATTTATTATTATTATTATTAATTTTATAGAAAACGCACATTCGTTGCCCCGGGGTGCTGTTTGAACCATTAAAAGACCAAACCCGTTAACGCTACGTGCCTACCCTTTGTCTTTTTCTGCCAGTACAGGAAAGATTTATTGACGCATTTTGGCAAGGATGAGGTTCCTAATTGCGTATCGAACGTTCAATTTTCATGCTCACCACAATTCCCTTTCCTTGTCAATTTCCTTTTGAATTACGTTAATATTTGCCAAAGAGAAAGGCAGCAAATAGACGGGAGAGATAGAATCAAATGCAGGTCTGTGGATATTACAGCGACTGTGTATTTGTTCAGTGATACTCTGTTAACATTTTGCGAAAGCCTCCTTGTCCAAGAAAGCAAATATCATTCATCGAGAGCTGTTGGCAAATACTCCTTGCTGGACCCTCCATATTAATCTTAAAATCCAATATTATGAATTCCGAGTCCTAGCATACTTGAAAGAGAGAGGTGCCAAGTGGTTTAATTGATCAGTATCCGGAAAGAGCCGGAGACGAAAAGCAGAAGGGGTTTCCTCCATAGCAAATAATGGCTTTCTTTCCTTAAACCAATACAACTGCAGTGATTTCCTAATAATCTCATACTGTCTGCTGCTTTTTCGATATGACTGGTGGCCTCAAATTTCTGTTCTCAATGTCTTTTCAGACATTTCTACTGCCAAAATTGATACATTTAGACTGACTTTATGACTAGGATTCAGACAATGCTACAAAAAAGGAGTACAGTAGTAGGAGGGAAAAACGCTCCTTTTAGTTAAATAATGTTGCAGTTCATTATCATTATTTTTATCTTTTAAATTGATTTTTTTTGCCTTTGTAGTTTTTTCTACTCTTATTATCAACCTTTGCTACTTGGAGAAATATGGATCGAATATTCAGAGCGTTTTCTTCAGCAGGCATTACAGTATATACATGTATGTATTTGCAAGTTTACGATCAACTAAATGCCCTTAAAAGTCGTGTAGCTGATCACCAAGAAGGAAGGTCTAGCCGATGATAGAATGAAATGGACATAAAATTATGCTGAAGCGTAACACACCAGCACAAAACTGCAACCCAGACATACAGATATTTTCTAAAGCGTATAGTCAGTGTTCTCCGTTTGATTAACTGCGATAACACGCCACAGGTGCCTCTTCACCTTTCGGGATAATCTCTCAGCAGAGCAGAGCAAATATCCCATTACTTTTGCCCGATGTATTACAGCACCCTGCACACAGCCTAAGATTGCCACTTAACAGTCCGCCAAGAAGCAGATGCGTGCTGTCTCTTAAAGACGGCCAGGAAGGCGTGGAAGACGTGCTGTTACGTCATTCACTTTCTTTTACTGTCATTTTGTACGTATAAACTATTGATTTTACAGCGCAGCGATAATCAGGCTGCTCGATCTTCGCATCGATAGTCACGATCTTCGATTTTTTAATCCTATCGTCGATAGGCAAAGCAGGTTTTTAAAAGTGGCAAAATAGGCCCACATGTAGCAGAGAGCTTTACCTGCATATTAATTCTACCTGTAAGACCTTGTTTGTTCAGCGGAAGAAAAGCAGATGTTATTTGGCCCGGTGCTACTACGACCTTCAGCGCGAGAGAGAGAGGCTAGTCACTAAGGTGTCACTTCTACCTTGAGTTTATACAAACGTGCAAATGCAGGCAAGAACAGACTGAGAATACAATAGGATGATGGGAAAAACTGAGCAGAGGCGAAGTAGAAACAGGTACGTCAATTTCACAGAACCGTATAACGTACGTAGCATATGTTTCCGTGTTTTCAAATGCTTTATGGCCTTGCTAATGTATTGATAGAGGGGTTTCTATTGTCGGAAAGTCATTTCCGTCGTGACCGATTCACATTTAGTGATGCGTGATCTACGGAAATACCAAGAATTTGTTATATTATCGCGTGAAAGCCCGAGGTGTATTTCGAGCATCGTCTCACTGGGACCTCATGCATCTTCCACCAGCAAACAGCCAACCAAACATGATCAAACAAACTTTATCCTCTGGATGTGTAATACTTATAATACCAAGTTAACTGACTTTTGACAACAGCACATTTGGAGTATGGTTTGTTAGACGCGGACAATAAGTTTATAGGACTGGTCTTGAGACTACGAAAATAAATGAAATAATATATGTGAAAATATGTTATGGTCCATTAGACGTTTCACTTGAGATGGTTTGATAAGTGGTTTAGTATTTACACGTCCAGCCCTATTTAATGATAATGCTACCGGCATTATTACGGCTATTTTTTTAACTTGCGTCGGCTCTCATGGGCCATGCCAGCAATTCTCAACAGTTAACCTTAATTTCCGCTGATCGATTGATCATTTTTATACAGGCAGCTTTTACAAAAATCTAGACACGCACCCAACGCTACATCGACTGACTGGTTATTTTTTTTTCTTTTTTTGTATTTCATTATTGCTTGTTTCAACTATTGGTAACCCGATATGTTAATCTTCTTACAAAGTGAAAGAAAAAAGGACATGAGCACGCATTATCTTGTAAAAGTAGAATTAGGTAAAACAAACACAATGCGTGCTCTTATACCGAGAGTGTTAGACTAATCGTTAAGTGAAGAGGGTAAAGTAACGGGTTCTCGGCGAATAGAGACCTTTCTCCATTGTGTGTAGCACTCTCCAGTGCTTGTAATTACTTAGTACCGGACAAAACCGAGCAAATACAACACGTTTAAGATTACCCGTGGGAGTGAAAGGTAACGAAATACCCAACAAAGGGGCAAAAAATGTATACATGATACAAAAATGAGGGATAAAATGAAATGGGGCAGATGGGTATTTTCCCAGACCTGTCGATAGTTCTGATTTTGGCTAACGCTACATTGCGTGTTTATTAATGGTTAACCTTTTGTTAACCAAATAAAGAACACAAGGGATTTCGTATGTTAGGCCTATTGGGATTGATGCTATTTCAGGCACGTTGATTACAGTCGATTGAGTAAGAGCTAGTGCAATTTTCTAAGTGCAAGGAGTGTATTGGCCAGATGGTACTATTACATGCCTGTTCAACATTAAATAAACCCCAGTAATGCGGTGCTTGGAATCCATAAAATAATTGCGATGTTTTTGTTGTCATTATAATTACAGTTCGCTAAGTATACCTATCTTTCTCTTATTTTCTCAGAAAAATTATTAAAAAATCGATAACAATTACATCTGCTGTTCGTTAAGTTTGGTGCGGCAATACACAGAGCTCTCTCGAGCGTTTCTAACTCAAGTGGGGGGGGGGGGTTCTTTCTTCTCCTGTATGGTATTGTCCACTGTAGCCTCCTTTGTTGCACGGCGAAATCCAATCATGCTTGTCTATTCTCAGAGGACATCTTTTTTCCCCATTCCGATAAATCAATATTTAGCAGCAACATATGATCCTGTGTCTACAAATGCCGGGGGAAATGAATAGTGATTTTGAACCATTCTTATTACAGTTAGGATCTGATGGTCTTTGTCTCACATTGCCGTGATAGTTGAACAAAGGTCTCTGTACAAGAAGGCAGGTGCATTCCCCCTTGCAAATAACCAACATTGAAGAGCCCGTTGATTGGAGATGAGGCGGACAAAAAGATGTTTTAACATCTTTTAAAATGGCCATCTTTTAGTTACTGAACAAAGCGCCGCCCATCGACTTATCGCGTTCACATCCTAAAACGCCGTAAACCAAATCGTCACGCTTGGTAATTTATAACGACTGCTTACATAAGATGAATAAGTGGAAAAGTATAGGAAGGCAGGAGATTTTTTAAATATTTATCATATAAAGTTAAACTAGAGAATAAGTATAAACACTTGTTCGGTGCAACATGAATTTCACCAATAAGTGAACAGAGAAAAGTCAACTGCATAGAAACTTACCAATATAGATCATTATAACTATTACAATCTGTCGATCCCATCAGATCAAACGGTCTATTTTAAATCAAATGATAGAAAACATCTCATTTGGACAATATGTTCCTCAAATCACACCACTTATACTAAGGAGGGTAGGCCCACCTCTTGCTTTCTTACACAAATCGTATTGACATTAACAGGATCCACAAAGCCTTGGAGAGCTTTTAGAACCACCCCTTTCAAGAAATTATGTTAATGCTCCCCCGGAGCATTAGGGGTTGTTTACCATGGGGTATTAAACCACCTCAAGCTAAATATGAATAAATTATTTACCACTTCTTTTCTGTGACGTCTTTATACATGTAGTAACTAGAAGCACGGGGATCTCATTGGCATTACATCACGTTCATCGCGTGCGCCTACTCTACCTGCGCCGCCGTTTGTACTACCTTTCTATATACAACTGTATACAACGCTGGTAGTTATGGTAAAAATATAAGCCCTTNACGATTAATTTCTGTGCTGCACTAATATCAATACGATCAATTGTCTGTTTTAACTGACAAAGAAACTAAATTAGGTGCTTATCACAAAACTCACATGTAATGTGCTACATGCACATGTGCGTATTGGCATTACGGTTGAGGCTCTACCGAGAACGCGGGAATGAAAAAGAACGATGGGAATATCTTCTTAATATGCCTGCCTCACAGCCAACGAAGACAAACGAAAAAAATAATCATAGGGTTACAAACTATCATCCATCGTGCGTTTCGCATTAGATCCAAGTCGATATATCGTTCATAGATACTAGGGGGAAAAGTGTTTTTAATGACTACTACGCTGTGCGCGTTTGTTGGCTATGGCACGGGAAATAGGCTAAAAAGAAAAAGGTTCGGCAGCACAACAGTAAAATGCTTAAACCTCATTGTGACATAAGATGTGCGGTATAGTGTACCCCAATTACTATCTAAGTCATTTACAGTGTATGTTAGTCACATACGGTCAAATTCGACTCAGGCAGCACATTTTAACATTTTCAAATGACAACCCCTTCTTCATACAGGGACAGCTACTACTAGATATACCCCAACGCCTTTGATATTTGTTGGCATCTTGGACCTAACTTGGACCTAACCTCTCTATTTAGGTCCATGTTGGCATCAAGCATTACAAGAATGCTATTGGCAGCAACGAATGCTGATAGAAGATAACAATGTAGATCCTAAGATTTTTTTGTATTAATAAGTCTTCTAAGTATATCATGCATATTGGAACTTAATACATTCAAGCAGTTCTGTGAGAACATTACCTGTTTAATATAAGCCTTCCTCATTCGCAAACGGTATCCTGCCTGTATCATTATATGCGGAATTTCCAATCGACGTCACCAAAAATTACCTATGCTGTTCAGTGTACTACATATAAACCGAGTATGTCATCACTTGGTATTAATATATAGGTATACTATTGCATAATTGGCTTCCACCCACCACCACCCTCAGATAAACCAAATGTAGCCCAATTGGCATTTGATACATGGCAAACCGTAGAATGTCGTTGGTATTTGTCACTTCTTTGACTTTCTAGCCTGCTTTTTTCTTTACTTTTCTTCATTCATTTAATTACTCCCTTTTTTCTTTATTTGTTTTATTCATTTATTAATTTTTGCTTGTTCCTGCTACTGGTTTTGGCTTCTTTTGCCCATTTTCCCATTTTACTCATTTTCTCTAGACACGCTGCCAGATGATGTTTGGACGGTATTCTTGTATGTGGATATCAATATTTAATTTATTATCAAAATAAGTCTCTGATCAACAAGGTGAATGCCACGAATAATTATGTATACTGCCCACCTGTACAGAGGATACCTACTCTAACACCAGTGTATTGGCAGTAATGTGAACAATTTGAATTATGCTTGGTCGAAATTCTCTAAGGCATAGTTTACGTCTACCGTCGATATGGCTCTTTTACCTTGTACCATTTAGGTGAAGAGTGCAAGTTTGAAGGAAAATAGAATTATCCTTGAACTCATTGGAAAGGATGTTCCTCAACACATTAAGGGCAACCCAAATGTTACTATCCATGTATATAGACCTCATACTGTTTTAGTTGTAGTACATACGTTGTCGGGTGGGGGCGTTGGAAGGAAACGGAAACAAATTGCCCCATCTGACATCTGGAGCCTTCAGCGCATGTTCCTCTTTTTAAAACACATTCTCCATGGCTGCATTCACAACAGTGGCTGTTCCGCGGACTAACAGATCCTCGGATCAAATATGGCCTACCCACTTGAAAGCTTACATCGTGATCCCCGCAGGGAATCTATTCAGTGTCTATTAAGGGATTATGCGGCAAGCTTTCAAGTGGGTCTGCCATATTTGATCCGTTAGTCTGCGTATCAACGTGTTTGGAATGCGTCCTTTAATGTATTCTTGCCTTTATGTCTTGTATGTTACCGAAAACAGATTTAATTTGAGGTAAACATTCAGCTGTAAACATTGCGCATTGGGAATTATATTCTAAATAATCGCCTTTGTATCAATATTTGATAGCTTTTAGTTAATCCCACCCTTAGAATATGTTTTCTAGGCACTTAAAACACGAACACAATACTTTAATGGTATTAATTGATTATTCTGCAGTTTAGAAGCACGGGGTTTATCATATTTAACACCTAGCCACAACCCTTGCCCCCGATCAATATGATGGGGGCATTTCTATCCTTCTACCCACCGATTTGATTATTAAAAATTCTTGTACAGAAGCGGTCACGCGACAAAAGGTATACTACATAAATACATGCGTCTTTACTTGGCGGGGGTACTTCAGTTTGAATGGCCCCCTGGTCTTGAAAAACACCCGGTTGCTGTTTTTTGTGCAATTCCATTTCAGCCCTCTTTTAACTATCTTAAACCACTTCGGGCTATTTTACCTGTTCAAATCATGTGATGTTGAATAGAGAACGTGGTAATGATTGTATTGAAACAAGTGGAACACATTATCCGACAGGTAGATCGCCGAATTACGTGAACTAAACTGATTTCTGACTGGCAGGGGAGGGATGTCAGTCGGCTTAGTTTTTTCGAAGGGGTCACTGCCGAAGTGTCAAATACAATTGGTTACTGTGGGTATGGTATTTCGACCTCTGCTTTTCCAGATATTCTCATAACAGACATCTGACTCAGTTCTAAACCTTTTCATTATATATAGTGCTTTCGAAATCAGTGCGTTGTATAGAATATGATGCCTTTCATTATATAAGTGGTCTGACATGCCAAAATATGTAACGGAGGATAACCAAAGCATAATTTAAGTTATATTATGCTGATAGTATCCCCCCCCCCTTTTTTTTTTTTTGAAAAAGACTGTTTATTGACAAACGCAGAGTTCTGGTTTATAGTTTACAGTTCTGGTTCAATAGGAAAGACCATCCAGGTGGTTTTCCCCTATCATCTTGTGAAAAAAAAAGAAACTCCGGTATAGTAGCCTTATAACACCTTAATTATTCTTTATTCTTGTTCATATATTTGAACCTTGTTACGAAAGGAATAAAAAGTTAGATTAAACATCAGGGTAATGTACAAACACAATTTGAAAATGGATGACTTGAAAATGAACACTCTTACCATAAACAGTCACCATCGAACACTGGATTACTTTTACTCCTGTGGAAAAAGGTACTTGTGCTTAGTTATACTGAATGCCTGACTCTACAGACGGTCATTTATACAAAAATTCCAATTTCGGGGACATATTCATTGCAAATACCCTCAGCAAAATGCTACGTGGAGCGTTTCCCGAGTTACTCTGTAACTGGAAAAGGCTCTTATGGAGATTAAGTAACTCTCAAGAGTCTAATAAATATCATTGACATGTATGCTGCTTATCCAAAAATTGATATGACTGGTTTGATTAATCCCTTTTCCTCCGGCATATATAGGGTAATGACTTCTAAGACTGTTATATTGTTAATATACCATTCCGTATTGAATTGTGTGCTACTTTTACCATCAGTAACAAAACTGCATGAGTTGTTTTATTAGCGTTAACGCTTTGAAATGAAATGCAATTTTTTTCAGTTTACTTCCACGTTCAAAATTGTATCTCTCTCTCTCTCTCTCTCTCTCTCTCTCTCTCCACGTCCAATATTCACTTTTGCTGAGATCAATAAATGCCACGTATATCGGAAGTATTTACGTGTCTTGGTCTAGGTCTGATAATCGAAAAGCCCATCACGGTTGCTTTAACGAATGACGCCGTGGAAGTTAAGTCACGCTATTCCAAAAATATCCCAAGTTCACGCAATCCGCTTTAGCCTCATTTGCAAATTACGACTGACAACATTCAATTCAACAGGACAAAAAATCGTCTGATGTTGTGATTATTTTATCGATCTCCTTTTTTTCACAAAATTTCTCTTTTTATTTCCTGCTTTGCTGGATCTGTATCATGCGATATAGTCATGTTTTACTTACATCTAAACTAAATTTGCCTGAATTAATGCTGTACTTTACGTGACGAAGCTTTCACGACGCTTACGGTCGGTAAGCGTAGGCTAGCACCATTATGCCATGTTCTCCCGCTAAAAGTCACAGAAAAACGTTCAAGATTCCAAAGAGGCCGCTGTAAATTGCAATTGTATGTCAGTATAATGCCTTGGCTGACACCAGTACATAGTGCAGGTTTTTATTTTGGTCGGAAACTCGTTTGAGGCACCACAACTGCTCTCCGTTAAGTGTTTATTTTTGTTCTTTTCCATTTCAAAGTTAAATAGAATCCTTTTGTAGAAATAAGTGTGAACAAAACATACAACTTTGAGCCTTTCTTGTGTACTTAGCACGTCTTGATAGTCATTATTCTTGAACCTAATTTATGGCTATTAAAACACTGAAGCTCATTTGTGGATATTGAAACAACGCTCCGTTGCTTATGCAGATGTCACTGCGCACGTGCTTCATACTGTCCAAGTTTAAAGTAGTGATATAAGGAGAAATGAGCGCTTTGCTGTCTATTTATAAACTACTTCAATTTTTTATTCACCTTTCAAAATTCTTTTGTTTCCCCCAATTTCTATTAAATTCTCGTTTTTGATTAATTTCATAAGGAATAGTGATGTTTAACAAGTATCACGTGCTTATTTTAAACAGGAAAGAACAGTATTGATAACCAGCTATAACTGAAAAAACATGGAGAAATTATCTTTAGAAAAATGCATTTAGTGGATGCATTTAATTTCATTAACAGTCCTCACCGTTACTGTTGAATTACCGAGACAGCTCGTTTGTGGTTTGGTACGCGTTTTTCCATGGCAAATCGCTTGTTAGTGTGGTGAACGACCCTAAACTTAAAGCGTTTGTGTAGAACAAGTGCTTTGATCCAGTCATTTCCTATAACAAACTGCCCCACAGATTCCACGATTGAGATACAAGCTGGGATAAATTATATGATTGATAACCGAACATCTGACCAGGTAAATCGCTACGTCCAATTCACCCTAAAGGCCTGTAGCTTTGCTGTATCTCTTTAAACCAGCACCCTGCGCTCCTACTGGTACAAGTGTTGTTTGGTAAGGTTACAATTACACGGGGACCATGATTAATGATCCGGACGGGTTGATAGGTTGATTTGGATGGGAATTAAAGAAGACATATCCCTATTTATTTATCAAACATTGCTGATCTAAATTCGAGCAATGCCCAGCTGTTTGTGCTTTCCTTTTTGTTTATCATTCGGTATCGAATCAGGTACGAAATTTATGCAAGATGCGTCCAGTTGCCAAAATAGCTAATGACCAATAATCTACATTGTAACAATAAATATGTACCGGTACCAACAATAAAGAACCGATTGCCCAGTGGTAGAGATATTACAAATGTCAGTCGCATTAAAAGAAATGTAGGAAACTATGTTCACTGGAAAATTCAAGGGGTCTTCTTATTCGACTTTTATAGAGTTTGGGAACAGTAGAATAACAATGCGCCCCCTGGTCAAAACGGATATTTGAAAACATCTTGGCCGTTTCCTTCCATGTGACACGTTTCGAGTTTTGAACAATAGGCCTAAAATGACTAAAATGTGACGTGGCCCTCAAATTTATTCAGAGAGACAGGGATGTATTTCTAAAATAAAGTTTCGATATCATCAGTTATTGTCGCATTAAATGTCACCATTATTTAGTTCTCATACATGTATAATAAGTATCAATCTCCCCAGTTACCGCATACATGGATATACTAAATTGCCCCAGGCTAAATCCTAAGTAAAGCACTGTCATCTCTTCGCTGTGTTCATTTATTAGTGGGTTTTCAATTTTCCGAACAGGGTCATAAATGCTAAATATTCCTAATAATTATAGGGTAAATGAACATAATGAATAGGCTAATGAATGAATAGGTGAAAATGTTATTAAAATAATCAATAAACGAATGCCCCTGGTAGATGTATTGACTACTTGACACACTGAACGATTGATTAAATAATAATAGTAGAAATAATAATTCAACAAATTAATTTTATTTCAGATGTCGACAGGCACTGGGCTCTAGGATGTATCACTTCTACGGGCTGTTTGTCGTCTGCCTGGGTGTTGTCTTTCCACTGTCGTCTGCTCTGGCTCCAGACGACAAAACGTCATACTATTACACTTGGGTAAGGAATCTCAGTGAAGGCTTGTATGGCAAACCATTTTGTGTGCAAACAGCTATTGAATTTCATTGATGATATTTTTTGTAAAACTTATGCCTATTTAGTCCCATATCTGTACTAATGGTTAAATGGGAAATCACATTTAAAAGCTTTCAATTGCTGTTGAAGTCCCATAGGCATTGACAGTTTTTAATTGAAAGCATTGATTTTGAGTTCATTTATCATTCAGCATTGCACTTTGTTATTAAGTGCCAGATGGATGTTTTAGAATTATGGCATCATAAGTCTAATGATGCCTTTTATACATTCATTAAATGATAACAAAACCAGTCAGGAGGTCATTTTAAATTGCCAGCCAAAGCTTGATGGAGAAGCGAAAACATAAAACCACAGCATGAAGCAGTTGATTAAAATGAAACAAAACAGAATTTATGACTTTTCTACTTTTCGAGCAAGCATCGGCTTTATCACTGTAAAGGTTAATTGCCAAAAAATGTTCTTTTCTTTTACATTCTGGGTATCGTAGCCCTATCTAGTTACGGAATCTTTTCTTGGCAGAGAAAACATGTATGTTTAATGTATAAACCCGATTTCAAAATGCCAACCTAAGAGTGTTTTGAGCTACGCCTCAAAAAACGTGTCTGTGGAACCTTGATTTTACAACATTTGTTTCTTTCAGGTGTTTTTGCTGTACCTGTTTTCCCTCAGCCTTTGCTTCTTTATTTATCTGAGATTTTACTTGCTACGGCTGCGAGGGAAGCCGTACACTATCACCCAAGAGATCATCTCTAACAGACAAGACGTGTCGGAGTATAGGCCAGACACACCGATGCTTCCACAGTGCAATAGCGAGAAAGGGAACCATAGCAACACAAATGGACGAGACTCTCCCAGGTCCAAGCCTCTTTTGGCGGAATGGCATTTCCCCCCTGTGTTCTTCACTGGCACCGGTTTAAATCGATACATGAGGTTCGGAGCTGCCCGTAAGTGCTTTTTTTAAAAAGAGTTATGTGGGGATCGGGGAAGGGGTAGAAGAGGTACTCCCCCCTTCATGCAAGCCGAGAGAAGTGAAAGGTCGTTGCACGTTACGTCATAAGAACAAACTCGGTCCGACTGACCGGCAAAAAGAGCACAAAGAAGGTTTCCAGAAAAAGCAAGTGATTCGGGATTCTTGTACCACACAAATTTCATTTATGATTGCTTCATTTTATGAAATTCAAAAGGGTGACTTTACTGGTTGAAAAAATATATCCTACTCGTCTCCTCTGCGGTGCATTAACTGGGCACTACTGAGTGCGGCCAATTTGAGTCGGAAATAACGCACGCCTGACGCCCTCATTGTTAAATTCTGGTCCTGTCAGTTATTTTTCATAATTATTTATCCCCGTTTCTATCAGAAACGAAAAAGGTACTTGTTAGTACAGAAATGTAAAAAATATCATTGATTCCGAAATCTCTCAACAATTCCAAGAATTGTTATATTCCCATTTGTAGCTTCCGTCCCTTTCTATAACATCTAAGTTATTGGATTAAGCGGTTGATATCATTACGGTTGATTTGATTTAGACTGCATAATTAAAGTGCTGACAGTTATTCAAACAAGGACTGTAGTTGCCCTAATGTGGGCAAGTAACTTGTTTTAAAGTTTTTTTTAACATTCGGTACGTCAAAGTTATATTGGAAGAGAATTAGGAGGTTTGAATTTGGGAATACTTATTTTCAGATAGAATAATAAAAACAACATTTAAAGAACTCCTGGACACTCAACTTAAGATATAGCATGTAACATTATGTTCAATCAATTTGACCAATAACAATATTACTGCAAAAAATTTATAACCAAAAATTTCCAAGTTTTCCGAAAACTATTTTTTTTCATTTCAGTATTCGCCACTGGCGCTATGGGACACAACGCACTGGGGATAATAGAGTTTATCGGGCACTATGCGTCCGGATGTCAAACCCCAGTCAACGTGCTTCTCCACAGTGTACAGCTAGGCTTTACCTTCACGCAGATTATTATCATCAGCAACTACTCAGCGGTAGGTACACTGTAGCTCAAAACAAATAGTTTTGGTAGTTTGGTAATGTATGTGTAGGTGTTCTTATCTTCATTATAGATTAGGAAATGGCATTATTGCAATGTATTTTTTGTTAAGTCATGATTTGAAACTAGTTAATTTTTTTACAATGATTACCTTCAATTTTTGGCATCAATACGTAACGAGCCGTATATACACGAGAAATGAACCATTTTGAGAGCTTTTCGTTTCTGAGTATTTTCATCTTCCAAGGTTCCTATCATGTTCAAAGTTGAAGATAAATGGGTTTCTAAGATATTATCGATTTTGATTTCAAACCCGGGCTCTTGTCAAAGGGTACAGGAGCAAAGATTATTGCAGAATTGCATTAGACTAAACTCTGATGTAATTCAAACAAATCTTTTTGTCTTCGGGGTTTCTTATAATTACATTACGAGTGCATGATGCCATTCATTCTGGTGAAATCACAGTCAGAAAGAGGGGTAATTGTACCAAAGTAGGGAAGTTATATTTCCTTTGAACAATCGTTGTTCTTTACAGTTTTATATTTCAGCGGAATCAATGTAAAATTGCTGAAATTACTGTAAACCTGTTGTTTACTTTCGTTTTCCAGTTGGTTATCAATAAACATAAGGCAGTTGCCAGGCTATGTCTGTTGCATACAATGGTCACGCACATATGTGTCCTTATTGCCTTCTTTGTTCTGGAAACTGAAGAAAAAATACGGAAACAATACACTACGGCGGCTGATGTTGATAGCATCAGCACTCCAAAACCAGGTTAGTTTCCTTGCACATTTTCCTTGGTCTACATGTATATCGATTTGCAGGACATTTTTCGTAAGCATTATTAATATAGCTAGCCTGCAGAAACATGTGGCAGGGACCACAATTTCATCTATTTAAGTTATCGAAGCCTTGACAAATGCTGAAAAGGTATCATTATCTAACGGTTAATCCTTGCCTTTTTCATTCCTCATTTCACTCTTTAAATAGAATCAGTATCTTTCTTCTTTTAATTTCAGAAAACCTATCTGACCCAACCACAGTCACCTGGGCCCGCAGCAGTGATTGCCTTCAATTAAAGACAATAACGGACAAAGCACGACCAATTCTCTATCCATTTATCATCCAGTTCAGCATCATTGGGGCCCAGGTCATGTATAATCTCTACCGCAACGTCGGCATATACCCAGAACCACGGGAGGACAAAATGCCAGCAGAGCTTACGGAGATTGGTGCTTACAAACTCTGTCACCATGCACTGAACGGGTTGTACGTAGGCTTTATATTGATTATCATTGCTGTGACTGGATTGAGTGTATTCTCAGTCGCTATAAATGATGATAAGACTGAAAACGACCAAATCGCAGCGGCATTATTCTTTACCATACAACTGGTATTGTATCTGAGTTCTTCGATCGCTATTGGGATTGGGTTCTTTCAAACTAGAGACTTTGTTATTGGGAAAGAGAGAGTGGACTACTTCCTTATCGCTGGAACTGCTAGTATGTACACTTTTAACATATTTGCCGTCATTTCGTGCATTCACTGGGTTTCACACCACGACTCGGATCTGATAACGTGCTTTTCTCTTGTGTCATCTTTCGCGGAAATGATAGAGACATCAATTCAGACTTTCTTCATACAAATGTTATTGACGAAGAGGGCGTGGAAACTGAATCACGTGATCAGAAAGCCCGGAAGAGAGGTCATCACGTTTCTTCTCATCACAAATCTCGGCATGTGGTTGACGGATTCTTTTGCATTTGAAAAAAGAACCATGATTCCCGCCTACGTTGGTATATTTGGCTTCCCGGCGTGGACGACGATAACGAACGCATTTGTTCCTTGGATGAATTTCTACCGTTTTTACTCCTTTACGGTATTAGCAGTGGTGTGGAAAAATATATTTCTCCCGCATAAAGACCACATTCCGAAGTTCAATCGTAATGAAGATTCTCCGCCTGCTGAAGAGAACGAAGTAGTGGAAAGTGAGGCAGACACAGACCATTTGACTCCTCATTGACACTATTATTCTTAAGCTACTGTACTTTATCTCAAGCCAGACCCAAATACGTCAGTGTCGGCCCATTTTAAGCTTGGAAATGCAAGTGTTTCCTGGCTTCATATGAGAGTATTACGAAACATTTGCATAGGGATAGAAAAAAATGGAGAAAAGGGAGCAGGGATAAAAAATAAATTTTCTTCTCTTCACTTGGCATATCTAAAACTTTAGAACGAACTTTGTTACTTTAATATGCTGTGCACAAGGATGGCAAAATCACTTTTTTTTTCGCTCGCTATACTGGGAGCAGAGGAAAAAAGGGGTACCTGAGATGTTAAATGAGGTTCAAATGATCCTGTGTCACTACCCTGGATCCGCCATTGACATTGGATTCAACCTTCGTGTCCCACAGCCCCAGAGTAAAGGAGCTGACAAGAACCATATGATTCTGAAGACTGCGTTGTAATATTTGAGTTTTCTCTGTATATGCTGTGCCATAGCATCCGGTCCTCGCGCCTTGTGACACTTTTTCACTGTGCTTTTTTATGTGGAAGTAAAAAGGTTAAACTATCGGAATTCATTTCATTTTTTTACAGAAAGAAGACTCGTGCTACTTCGACCACATAAACACAGGGGCAAGGCGATTCCAAGCGTCTGCTTCAAGCTCATACCCCTGTATGTGCTAGTCAGTTGTATATGTTAGACTTTGTAATATATATATATATATATACAAGAGAACAGAGCTACTCCATAACAAAAGAAGAAATTTTGAGTAGAATTATCATATTTTAGATTGATACTTACATACCAAGACACCCTTTTGATTTTGAGTAGTCATTTCAAATAATGATCATTATGTAGGCCTATAACACGGTAAATGTATAATGCGCATTTTTAAAATCATTAAGAAAATATGTTTATTTCTTTTAGCTGTCCAAAGAAAACGCGTGTACATCTTATATATTTATGTTATTTATTAAGTACATGTATTTATGTTTCTCTCAGCATATTAACAAACACAAATAATGAAAACACGCACACAATAAACCACGTACGTTCATTTATTTATAAATATTATACTTGGTACATACTCAAATTGTTTAGCATGTAAGTAAAAGTCAATACTCTTCATGTTCTTCATAAGTGCATATTCATTTGCTTCTTTGCTGGTAAGCACGAGAACTGTTCTACAACATAACGCTGATATTTCTATACAATGAGCCGTCCTAAGTCGAAGACAATGTTTACTTTGCTATATGTAGAGCCGCTACACATCCAAACCATGCCTTCCAAAATTATGACTAAACTAACATTTATTGTTTTATAATTGTGGATGCAGTAATGAATTGATATATTGTGGTAAACCCTAAAATCATGTCCAACTGTGTATTATTTACTATACGCGTACTTAAACAAACAAAACACCCATTGCTCAAGTTATCTCTATGTGCTATGAATACTTAGAAAATATCTACAGGTACTTGATTACTGTAATATCAAGCATGTAGTTTTTAATAAATAATTACGTTCCCCAATAAGTGTATTTTCTGGTATTATTATAAAGTGTTGTTCCGTTAATAGCATGTGCCATCCCGGACATTATCGGAACAATCTTCCACCTGAGAAGAAAGAAACGAGTGGAATCCTCTGTGTACTGGTATTTACCTGCTTATTTACAGGTACAAGCTATCAGGTTGCAGTTTGAGGCGGTTGAGCTCTCAAAGTCGAAGATAGTACTTGTAGTGAAAACTTCTCTTTGGTGAGCACATTTATATTACACAAAGTCAATAGGAAGTCCCATTGTGGTATTGAGAAACTGTTTTTGTCAGGCAATCGCTGTAAACACAGATATCATTGTCTCAAAACAATTCTCTGAAACCCAGAATAAAGACAGAAGAAATGTCTACAACATAGATTTGAATATTATCAGGGAATATATAAGTCGAGGTCTGAATTCATCTGGGCTGTGTTAACAGGTGTTCTTCTCGCAGTTCTTAATACCAGTCCACACCTGTGCTCAGCATTAATCGACGTCAGGATGAACGCGCAAGAATGTGAGCGTTTGTGAATATAGGATCCATAAATAAAAGGACCGACCTCAGAAAATTTGGCAAACAACAAACATTATCTAATACATATCAATTTTATACAAAATTTTCGTCAAATGTTTCAAGATTACTTATATACAGTATATGTAAACACTACACATAAATACTACAGTCGTACTTCCTCATTAATACATATACATCCAATCAGAGAGCACACAGAATAATTATTGCTTTAATATAAGATACATGTACCTCTGTAAAGACTGATTTTCTTGTTCACCATTGCAATTTATCTGTGCTGTAGTGTGTAGCTTTTCACTGGGATGTCACATAATTAAGGGACGTGCACCAACTCTACAGAGCAATTAGGTATGGTGCGCTTCACCCAACCTTTGTAATGCTGTATCATTCATACAAACAGACATTCAATGTGTGAAGTTTTATATATATATATATATATATATATATATATATATATATATATATATATATATATATATATAGTTTTATATATATATATATATATATATATATATATAAAACTTCACACATTGAATGTCTGTTTGTATGAATATATATATATATATATATATATATATATATATATATATATATATATATATATATATATATTTCAAAAGAGGGTCCGTTATACGTGTTAAACAGAAAACTCGATTTCCATTCAAACGCGTAAGCTACAGAATCAGATTGAAGCAGCAACATGTACCGGTATACAGAAGGCTATCGCTCATTATATTTACCACTGAGGGCATAAACCTTTCCCTTTAAATGCCCACAATTAAAATTGAGATTCAGATTCCGCATTATAGACGGATATACACTGTACTAGCCCTTACACTAGGCAGACAAATAACATAAATTAAAAACCTTTCAGCATCTAGCCACCGAATTAAATATTTGCGTTTCTTTTGTAATAAAGCAAATTAAATAAAGCCGATTAAATCCCCGCTGAAATGTCTTTAAAAAGTCAAAAATTATAATAAAAGTACAAGATATATAAAATAATTTTTGGATGTAGGTTTGACTAGAGCTCCTTATCATTTAACAGATTAGAATTCAGCCTTCTGAACTGAGCCTTACACCTTTCTCCTTGTAAGCACTGCCCCAGATTACAGAAAGTGTCGATGCCGATTGAAAACGATAAAATATTATCAACGGCACAGAAATGTGAGTCATTATTTTCCAAGGCAGTTGTCCATAAAGGCTCAACATCTGTGCATTGTGCTCAGCCCTTCTCACCGCTAACACATTCACAACCCACAAGGAGACGTTACAGAGAATCAGGAAAATGACGAGGGCTCTTCCTGGCTTGTGGATCACGTGATCCACCTTTCGAGGCTGCCGTCTGCTACCGTCGATGATAAAAAGCGTTTGCAATGTTGCTTGAATAAGACACAAAAGAGAGACTGCCAGTGACATCGTTCCCTTCAAATCTAACTTCATTATGTTTAGCTCGTGGAAAAGTGCAACGCTTGTGAGAAGCTGCAAGATGTAGACTCCAACAGTCCCCAAAATCAATAAACTGTCATCAGACGTGCCCAACTTCGTTCCAACAAATTCCAGATTTCTCATCTTCAAGAAGCCAAAAATTGTCGCCAAACATGCAGCAGAGAGAAGCAGCAGTTCCAGGGATATGAATACCAATAAAGCTTTTTCGGGGGACTTGTCAAATAAGACAAAATAAATACTCAAACCAACAAGGGTGACAATGGCGACAAAAATGCCCAAGAACAAACCCGTGTGGGATTTGTGGCACTCAGCAAAACGGAACTCTTCCGCCGGGAGTGTGTCTTCTTCAGCAGACGATGGTGACACAGGCGGTTGGTGTTTCCCAATATGCGCGTGCATGCTGTAAATAATGGCCGCGGCGATAATGCTGTATTGGAGTACACATGGGTACAAGTACGGCTTTGCCTGGTCTGTTATGGTGGTTGCCGTATAACAGTCCATGGAGGTGATGTGCTGTAGTGACCCGTCAAGTTGCAGAATGAGTGAAACACCTTGTGGAAAATAAATATTACAGCGTATCGACTCTCAACTTCTTTATCTTTGTGTAAAACAATATGAATAGGACTATGCCATTTTAAGTAATAACACAACACTGGGTAATCTCCCACTGAATCAATTATCAATAAATGAGTAAATGTGTGCGAGAGTGAGGGGTCAAATGAACGAATAAATCAAAAAGGAAGTAGAAAAGAAATTAACCCCTTACCGGTTTCGTTCACCCCGGCGACGAACTCTCTGTACTGCTCTTCTGTCTCCAGTATAAGATAGGCCATGTACACACTCACGTTGGTGGCAAGCAGGTGAACGAAACCAAACCTAGCAACTGTATTGTGTTGGTTGATGACGATCTGAAAGGAGATTGCGATTTTTTCCTCTCTAACACAATTCGCTTCAAACAGTAACAGCTTACGGTATTTCGTTCAAAATAGGGGAGACCGGGGCTAGTTGGACCCCGGGGTAAGTTGGCCACCCGTCAATTTATGAAAAAGTAACTACGAGGTAAAAAAATTGGTCACATACTCTTGTAAATTGACCGTAGCCTACAATGCCATGGAAGTGTCGGATGTTAAAAAGTTTTACTTAAGCGGTGAGTTCAAATAAACGATTTTTGCACCTAAAAGTAATTTTGTTTATCAGAATTAAAAATCTATTTTCAAAGGCTTTTGATCGAATATAATATATGTATAGGGCATCAAACTGAAGCTCATTGTTTCAAGTTTCACAGAGATATATCATCGTTGCTCATTCTAGCATCATAAATGGTTGCCATCCTTTAGGCTAGTTGGCCCCCTAGACTCGGGGCAAGTTGGACCCTCATATTACCCACAATCCTTTGCGCGTAACGCTGTTTGAAATAAACAAGTTGGTGAAATTGACAAAGCTTGCCGGTGTTTACCGTCTGATTGATTTCATTTAATTTGCTCTCTGGTGTCTTTTCAAAAATTTATATTAGAAATGTTCTGTTGATTGTATGTATTAAAAAGTAAATCCATTGGACTTTCCTTAGAAAAACATTTATTTTGCCTTAGTTCATTTTAAGGGGATTCCCTTTGTATTTATAGTGTTATATGTGGTCCCAAGGGGATTTTCCACCCCATTGTTGAAACAAACTCAATGGTTTAAAACTGAATTTGTTACTTTCTTTTAAAACGAAAATTTATTATTCGTTTTCATTCATTAAGAACCTACTTTATACCATTATTAATTTATTCTTAATTAAAACAAAACAAATTTTATTGATGGATATTTTGGTTCTTGCAACACATACCCCCCCTTACAACGTGACGTACGGAAACCTCAATAAATCTGCCTCATTTGAACTATTTATTCATCAAAGACTCTAAAAAATCAATTTAATAAATTAAAAATGTATAAAAATGTATTTCAAGGCGTTTACATGGGATATATACTTCATTTTCGTATAGGGGGGCCAACTTGCCCCGACCCTGGGGCCAACTTGCCCCGTTGCGGGGCAAGTTGGCCCCCTTGACGTCAACTGCGTCTTTTGTCAAATATTGAGCCATCTGGCATTATATTTGAAAAATAATGACGTTGCATACGTAGCTTAGTTCATGGGGCTTACTTTGAAACCGGTTTTATTACTGTAACCCATTCCTTGTTGGCTCTACGAGACCAAAAGTGTCTAACTGGGCCAACTGGCCCCGGTCTCCCCTAAGTTTTAAAAAATTATAAGAAAAACCATTAATTTAGCAATAGTGTTGATATCATAAGCTACATCATATAGATTCCGAATAAAAAAGCTGATAAAAGTGGCGTTGTCTTGTAACATTATCTCGCACCAAAAGACACGGCATATTCTTTGATACGAAAAAAAAACAACATTTGCTTATACATTCAACTTACTTTATGATACTTGAAGATGAAAAATGTCTGCACGAACGTAAACATCAGATGGAATGCCGTCACAATAACGCTGACGACAGACATGCATCTGCTTGGTTGGTCTTGAGCAAACTCTGATATCTTGAACCCATCATATATCATGCTGGCCGTGGCAAATACTGTAAACAAGAGTATAAAAATTTCACAAAGCTAACAAGAGAATTGCCTGTCGAGTTGGGTTATTTATTACACGTGCACTGCTAGGGTTTCGAGGTAAATCGTAATGTTATAAAAGTACACAAAGCTGAAGATGTAGGGTTTATATTTACAGTTTCCAGTTTGGGAACACCTACCGAAATAGTACCTCAATAAGTTTATCACAATCACACACACACACACACACACACACACATTGTAAATAAAAAAAATTATACATGTTTTGCGTTCCCACTTTTCAAAACAGATAAATAGACAACTTTCGAATATCAAAATGTCAGGCGAATGATAATTTGGCCTAAAAACCAACTGGTCATCACTCATCAGGTTTAATTTTTGTTAAGCAAATTATCAAATGCGGAGTCAATTACTCACTGATTGCACCAGCCTT